CGTGGTCGGTGCATGAATGCACACTGCTGCATTGGTGCATCAGCTGTCAGTGCGTGCTGTGATCGAAGCAGGCGTGGGAGCTCTGGCACAGGGCTGTGGGTGGCGTGGGGGGTTGGGAACAGGACGCTGAACTCGGGCCAGCGATGAGCCCAGCTGAATTCTTGGAATTCCTCCACTGGGGCTGGCTGAGCTTATCAGGGCCACGCAGCACCCGCACCACTGAGCCACTCCCCAGAGCACACAGCCCAGCTGGGCACCCTACACAGCCAGCCCAGGGCATGGGACACCCACACCAATGGCTCCAGGACTGTAAGTGCAGCGTGGCGGGGCAGGAGCGAGGGCTGAGGGCAGGGGCAGCTCACATGGGGTGGGCACAGGAGGTGTGTGTGCACCCCAAGCTTACGTGTGGTGCAGGTGCAGGGCTGACTGCAGCACCCCAGCTTGCTCCTGTGTGTCTCAGCACAGCAGCAGGGCTGAGAGCAGGAATGCCCATTTGCATGGGATGCGTGGATGTGTTGGCACGATGCATACCAGGGTCAGGCCAGCTGGGTGCTACTGTGTCACCCTCAGTGAGGACTTTCGCCCCTTCCTGACGTGATAAGGTGTAGGCAGGCAGTGAGTTTTCATTACCTGGTTCACCATGGGCTGTAAAAGAGCAATAATGAATTACAGGCAGGGAATTAATGAGGTTACAGGAATTCAGCTGGGGCACAGAACAGCCAGGAGCGACCCTTCCCAGCAGAGCCGTGTTCGTGCTGCACCTCTGATGCCCCAACTGCTCCTATTGGCATCAGTGCTGCCCATCCCCAGGTGCTGCCTCCCCCCGAAAGGGGCAGAAATACCCCAGCAGGGCGGGGGGGGGAAATGCATCACCTGCAACACTGCATTGCAAAGGCATGCAGCAGAGCAGAGGGCACGAGGTGCTGCTCACCTGGCTCCTGCTGGGTTTCTGTGTCCCCCAGCACAGGGCTGGGCAGGCATTGCATGCTGCATTGCGTGCTGCAGGGCTGAGACCCATCTGTGCCACCCTGCCCTGCCCTGGCAGCTGCTTTCTCATTCAGTCCCAGCCCAGTTAGTGGCAGGAAGACCTGTGCCAAGGTCAGGGCAGGTGTTTACTCCTTTGTGTGACACATGGGTTAAAGTCTCCTATTTTTATGAGCCCTGAAATCATTTTTGTTATCTTTAGCGTTTCAATAACTGCAGTTATTTGGAGTTTCCTTCCTATAAACGCACAAGAAATTCCCAGCACGGCGTCGCCAGTAAATATCCCAGCCATGAGGCCACGTACCCAGTGGTACCCATGGCAGCCCACAGGTTAAGAGTGGGTGTGGGTGTGGGCAGCTCCCTTTGCAAACGACTGCTGCCCAAGAACTGCCATTTGTGGGTCAATGGAACAAAGGATTTTTACAGCATCATTATTTCATGTGATGGCGTCTGCCTACGGGCGTTGCTCATAGGAGTGACGCTGAGGATGTTCTGGGTCAGGGGGAGCTGTGCTGCTCCCTGTGCCCCACCTGATGTTTTTCCCACCCATAGGGCCAGCAGGATCTCACTTTGCACTCCAGACACCTCCAGGTGAGTGCAGAGCCCACGCAGCCCCAGGAAGAGCTCAGCAAAGCGTTGGATGCTGACAGTGGCCGAGCGATGGACAGGGTCACCCGGCACATGGTCTTCCAGTTCCCACACACACGCGACCACAACGATGCCTATCAAGGTGATGCATCCATGGATGGAGACGACGATATATTTGACTACAGCAGCCAGAAGGAGAACGGCTACGAGCAGAAAAGCAGGCTGAAGTCACCCTCGTATTTCTTGGAGAGTGGGAAGGATGTGTGGAACCCATCCCCAGACAGGGAGTCCCAACTGGAGGTGGTGAGGTCAGGGAACCTGTATGACCTGAGGGCTTACAGGGGTGAGAGGAAGCCCTCCAAGATGTACGAGGATGATGAGCCAGACCCATATAGGCTGCAACCCCCAAACATCTCCCCCGAAAAAGCAAAGGAGCTGGAGGACAAAAGGAGAGAGGTGATCCGGGGCCAAGTGGTGCGGAAGAGCTCCACTATGGCTGAGAAGTGGAGCTCCATGGATGAGCTGAACTCCATCACCGCAGGTGGGCAAAGCCACGGCGTCCCCGGTGCCTTTGCCATCTACTTTGATAAACCCTCCCCAGGCCGGGCTGTGACACCTGTGGACCCAGAGAGCATCGATAGGGAGCAGATCAACTTTTCGGCTGCGCGGCAGCAGTTCCTCATGCTGGAGAAGAGCAGCCCTGGTGTTTTGTTCAGCCCAGGGTACGTCACGTCTCCAAGGCCGGAGGTGACGGTCAAAACTTCCAGGCAGGAGTGGCACAGCCCTGACACCACCACGAGGGCTGAGAGGGGCCGTGGTGACACCACAGGGCCCACACAGGGCAGGATGGACCAGAGCATCTACACGGTGTACAGCGTGCAGCACCAGGCCTCGGGGAAGGAGGAGGGCTATGCCCATGGGAAGGGTAACACCAACGTGTCACATCCCACGGGGAAAGCACTTGGCCTGGCCAGAGCATCGTCCAGGGACGACCTGGACTCGGGGCTGGGGGAGATGTACAGTGCTGGATACAGCAGCAATGGCAGCGATGTCCCAAATGGCCTCGGGGATGTGAAGGATGGCGGAGGCTCAGAGGAGGGCAGCGGTGAGACGCCCATCGAGAGGGAGATCCGGCGGGCAATGGAGAGGGAGGAGAGCCTATGGAAGGAGCGGGGCATGCAGAGGCTCACGTCCAGCAGCGAGCTGGTGGAGATCCAGACCAAACCGCTGCTGTCCCTGAACGCGGCCCCGGCTCAGGGAAGGAAAGGGAAGGACAAAGGCCGCGCATCCTTTAACGTCCAGCGGGAAATAGAAAAGGAAACAAAACGCGAGGAAGACCTGCGGAGGCAGGGCAGGCTGCCGGGGCTCTACGACCGCGGGACGCCGCAGGAGCTGGGCGAGCTCCGGAGGGTTTTCGAGCAGGAGGAGCAGCAGCCGTCCTCCAACCGCCGGGTGACCGAGCGGCCTCGGAGCCCCGGAGACAGCCTTACCGACGGCACCCGCACCGGGAAGGCCTTCTCCAGCCCCGCTGTGACCCCTCCGCACCAACGGGGTCGGGATGAGCTCTGGCCGTACGAGCGCGCTTCCGCCGGCACGAGGACGAGGGAGGATTCCGAGGGAGGAAAGCTGCCCGGCTCCACCCCGAGCCCCGTCCTGCGCAAGGAGCATTTCGCCCTCAGCTTCTGGCAGCCCCGCATCTCCGTCTCCGACGCTATGGGGACGCGAAGCGCGGCGAGACGGGAGCGGAGCCCCGACGGTGAGCACGGCCGGGACGAGCAGTACACGCTGCGCACGTGGAGGCCGCAGCGCTCGGCGTTGATCGAGGAGGAGATCCGCAGCGATCTGCAGCGAGAGGAGGAGCTGCAGGAGCAACGGAGGAGGCGGTTGATGGACGGCGGGGACGGCACGTCCAGGGAGAGCTCCCGTTCGAGGCACAGCTCGGGTAAGGGCAGGGCTGACTCCGTTCATCGAGTCCGACGGTGTTCGTTTGGGGACCGGAGCGCACCGTGCCGTGTCCCGCAGCGCCAGGACGGCACGTCGGGGTGCGGGGCTGCGGGCAGCGAGCCGTCAGCTGTAGGGCCAGGGAGGGACAACGAGGAGCTCCGCACGCAGCGTCTCTTTCTCTCTCTCTGTCCGCAGCCGCCTCGGGTACCAGCGGCACTTATTCGGTGTCCGGCTCGCCGGTCCCGGCCTCGCAGCAGCCGGGCGTTCTGAGTCTCGTCACGTCCTTCACCCCGCTGCGGCTGAGCTGCTCCGAGAGCTCCGGCCCCGATTCGGTGCGGTGCAGCCCGTCGGAAGAGAGGAGGAGGAGGACGAAGGAGGAGGGCAAGGTGAGACGTGGGGGTGGGAGTGACCCGGTGGTGTGAAATGCGCTTCCCTCTTTTCCCAGGATGCGCTCAACTTTTGTTTCTCTCTTTTCTCAGTACGCGGGCATCGAACCCATTGACAGAATCAACACGGAGGTACGGCCCTGAATGTGCTGGGGGTCCGGGGGGGGTTTTCCCGCATGATGCGGTGCGGGGCTGAGGGCTGAGTCCGGCCCTGCTCGTCCCGCAGCCGCCGGGGGGGGGCAGCGGAGCGCGGGGCTGGGAGCGTTGGTTGCAAGCGGGGAGGCTGTTCAAATAACTAATTAATAATAATAATCAAGGGCTTCTGTATTAAAAAGAAGTCTTCTGTTTCCGCAGGTGGTGGAAAGCACGCGGGTGGTGCGGCACCAGAGCGCTATGGGGCAGCGCTGGGAGAGCGGGCAGCTGAGCACCGACAGCGACTGAATGGGGGGGGGGGGGGGGGGGGTCTGTGCAAATCCCAGCAGCTGATCCGATCCGTTCGACATCCGTGTTTGCTTTCACCTTTTTCCCTTTGAGGTGAAGCAATAGTTTGTTTTTATTTAAAGGCGGGGAGGCTGATCATTGTATTTAAAGGCTGATCGTTTTGTTTTAATTACTTCTGCAAAGAAGCTGGATGGAGAGAAATCATACGGTGATTGAAGGTCCTTCTCATTGCAAGCTGTGTTTCTGGCTTATAAAAATAAATGTTTTATTTTGGAGTGGTTTTAGGCTTTTAGGCAATACCCAGGAAAGCCCTGGGGCTGACGTGCAACACTGAGGAGAAATCGAGGCTTCTGATTGAGTCATTGATCTGCTGAGGCACAGCGATAGATGATATATTAATGCTGTTTATATTGCTAATTTATTAAAGTTGTCACTCTCTCACTTGGTGCAGTCTGTGTGTCTGGCAGCTGGCAGACCTGGGGCAGTGCTGGGGGCTCACACTGACACCATATTGCTCCCCAGGGCAGGAGCTTTGCAGGACTTCCCTCCAGCTTACAGAAAGTGCTGCTGGACTTTGCTCACGGGTGCAGCACAGTTCCCTTCTGCTGCTTCCCCTTTTGGTCCCAAAACTGACAGTGGAGGGGGGTGGGTTGAAATCCTACCTATAAAAAAGGGAAAAGAAAGCAGTTTTGCAGAAGCCTTCAGCAGACACTTCCCTTGGAAGGGCTGCTCAGCACCCATATTCCTGCTCACTGAGCCTGGAAATCACAGAACCACAGCATGGGGGGTGGGAAGGGACCCCCAGCCACCACCAGCTTGTTGGCTTTGTAGGCTGATCTATTGGTATCTTCTTGTTTTGTTGTGCTGTTTTAGAACAGGCAAACAACGTCAAGCAAAACTGTTTTATTTGAATGCATCAACAATTCAATCCAACAACTTGCCTGGACTGGGAGAGAATATATTGAATGAATAGCAATTGAACAGCTGAGGAAGTTGATTGTGTCAGCTAACAAGCCCTGTCTCAGTTAATGCCAGCTGTTCTATCACATCACTAATAACATTGCAGAACACTGACTTTGTTTTTTGCAAACATGAAAACTTCACATCCTCTTTTCTAACTAACTGAATTATCAGTGCTGTTAATAGAATAACAGATTTTCACTTCACCTGAGAACAAAAGCAATGCAAACCTGCAGGCATTGTGTTCTAAGGTGAAACCAAAGAGATGGACATTCAACCTTTGCTAAATATTGCTATTAAAACTTTCTCAAATGCAACTTCAGAACACGCTCCTTTCAAACAGAAATTAAGTGGATGCCTTTATTTCCTGAGCTTTTTTTCAGACGCTTTGACTTGCTGGAGAATGACTTTCAGCATCTTCCCCATTTTGGCCTTGGTCAGTGATTTCCTGCTGTACCACACTTGGTCCCACACGGAGTACATGTGTCTGGGGGAGAGATACAGCGGGTCATAATCATGCAGCATGTCCCCCGGCCTCTTCTCTGCATACTTCTTATAATCTTGGACTGGGCAGTTTTCGGGGTTGTTGGGTCTGGCAAAGAGATGTGGAACCGATTGCCCTGCAGCTTCCTCTGCATTGAGGTCGTGCTTCCACTCCAGGTACTCCAGCCCTGCCACGTTCCTTCTGAGCACCAGCTGTCCCCAGTACAGATTCTGGCCGTGGTTGTGTGTGCTCGCCCCAAACCCCCTGATGATATTTACAAACATCAGATGCAGAAAGCTCTGTGGGTTGGTCTGACTTAACAGCCCCTTCTTACGGAGGTTATCCACGTTCTCATCTGTCAGGTTCTCCAAAAGAGCCCAGTTCTCCTCTCTCTCTTTTTGAGATAAAAGCTGATGCTTCTGTTTCAAGGCTTCCTGAGATGCTCTGAATTCAGATCCTTTCACCACGCTGTACTCATAACTGTGCTCCTTGAGGTACTTGTCTATGCTGTTCTGAAAGAACTGCAAAGACCCAGTGGAGAAATCCGTGCCGTTCTGTTTCTTTGCAGACGTGTAGAACAAGGCCAGGTAATTATCGAGGTCTTTGGGTGGCAGCTTATGGATCTCACGTGTCTCAGAAGGGCAGCGCACATCCAACCACTCTCTGAAAACTTTGATGTTGGCAGCATTGCGGTTTCTCTTGCTCAGCACATCTAAAAGATAAGAAAGAGCTCTGTGATCAGTGACAGCTAGCAAGGAGATCAGTGAAATTGAAAGAGATGCAGAATAATGTTCACCTTCCCTTTAAAAATCAGTCAGTCACAAAGCCTTTCCTTTAAAGCTTTGGTTTTGACTTGCCCACACTGCTCTGTAGCACTCGTCTGGACATGGAAAGACAGCCCCTGTCTTCTCTTCCTCACTTAAATGGTGAATCTGCATGCTACCACCTAGATAACTGTAAGGTATTTTCTTTTTGAATCATGTTTCATTAGGAGAGAATTATTGGGAACTGTAGCTGTCATTGCTGGCTTGTCTTTATGTTGGTAAGGGACTGAATTTTGCCCTGGCTGATTCTGAGGTCATAACCATGCTCATAACCAGCAGCTCCAGTCCTGCTGCTGCAGCATTAGCTACAAAGTTCAAACAAGCCAAAATGGACTTGGTGTGCTTTCAGCAATTTGCAACTACTCTGGCTTGTATTTTGTGGTGACCCCAGGGGCCAAAGTCTGCTCTGTTCCAATGAATGGGAGTCAGCCTGGATGTAGATCCTGTCATCTGCCTCAGGACTGAGCGTCCTGCAATTCATACGTTCAAAATGTTGTAACTCATTATGTAAGACATATTTCAAAGTGTTCCTTTGCCCTGAAACCTCTTCAGGGCAGGAAAGCTCTCACTGTGATATAAAAACATGAACGAAAAGTTAGGGGTGAACAGTAAGGAAGAAGAAAAGATGAATAATATTTTTAAAGAAAGGGATGCCAGGATTCCAGTTGGGTTCTTTCTCAAGTTGCTATGGCAGTATCTACCTAGTTCCATATAGCATGAGAAACTAGTTCTTTGGATTGCTGTAGAGCCCCATCTGCTCACCTGTGATTTTTCCAGGGCTGAAGAAGGGGTAGATTAAAAAGGGCTCTAGAGCCAACATCCAGAAATTCTTCTTCTGGCTATTTTGTATGTGCTTAGCAATCATAAAATGCTGTGACTGAATGGAGGTGGATTCTACTGTGCTGCTGTCTCAGTGTTCTGCCTGTTCTGTTTTGTTATTGACCAGTTCATGGGAAGAGATGGATGCCTCAGTGTTTACACCTAGATGCTAGAAAACCAAACCATGAAACTGACTAGCCAGCATTTTAATGGATTGATGTGGAACAGCACCTGCAGGCATGCAAATAGTTGTCAATGCAAATGTTGTGGCTCATTATAATGCCTTTAAAAACCTGGGCATTTGTATTTTATTTGAGGTGTTTAATCATTCAGTTAAATGATGTGTAGCTGGTGTTAAGGCTCCGGTGTAGCACACATCTATGCTAAGCCAGAGTTTCAGCCAAAATTTCTGTTTTGTTGCTTTAAAAGTTACTTCCTCATTCTTTTTTCCTTCTGTGAGACCAGAGTTCACATCTCTGGTTCCAGTTTCTCACAGGCATTCTGTTTTAAGTACAGCCAACAGACTGTATGGTGACACCAAATGAAAGACCAAGATATTCAAAGTGGGTTAAAGCTACAGCCAAGTCAACATCTGGGTATCTCAGTAAAAGGCATGATCTATGTAGGAATATTTTAAGTCCCTTTTGGTAGAAATGGCACGGCCTAAATAGGATGCATTTATTTAGATGCTACAACACACGTTTTGCCAGCTAAAAGAAGTCACCCTCCTTTAATTTCTTCGGAAAGTGAAACATGCCCACAAACCCTCCCATGATTAAAGCTCCAGGGCATCTTACTGGTTTTTGAAGATTCAGGAGGTTGGTTGGCATTCCTGCTTTGTGGGCTCAGTGAGGCTGAAGGACGAGGGGCCTGCTCAGACCCTGACAGCCTGCTCTCCTCTGCAGGGCCCTCGGTGGCATTCCCATTCAAGTCTAAGGTTCCCGAGACACTGCATTCAGTAGAGCTCAGGTGGATTTGCTGCTGGACATCTACTGTGGCTTCAAGCTCAAAGAACATCGCAGGGGCAGGTGTCTCTGGCTGGGCTTTTGCTTCAGTGTTGGAGATAGGAATCAATTCTAAATCTTCTTTTGGTGTTGCTGACTCAGCAGAATCCCTGGCTCTTGAATTTTCGCTTACAAACACTGTGGGATTAAGGGGACCCAGACTCAAGAAGCTGCTTTCCAGGATCTTTCGATCCCTCCCAGGAGATTTTAGAATACAGCAAAGAGTTGGGGGAGGCGTTGTCATGGGGGTGAAGCCAGATGTAGAGGTGACTGTCTGCTTGTTAATTTCTGTCTTCTGATCACGATACATCTGCAAACCTATCTCAGCAGTTACATCTTCAGGTGGTGACTGTGAAAGAATATTCTGGTCGATTGTCTCCTCTTGGTTTTCTGCATTCAGTACGTACTGTTCATCATCAGAGATGATGTGTAGATCTTCATTGTATTCCAGCTTCATCTCATGGAGGTCCGTTCTGATTTCGCCTATGGATATTGACAAATGCTGCTCTGCTGCAGAGCCTGGTTGCATGGATTTGCAGTTTCTTTGATTTGGTCTGGCTGGTGGTTCATTACATATTTTGCAGATGGTATCTTTTTGCTGAGGGCCCCCTGCAGGTGTGCCACGTGATGCTGTGGCAGCACTGTCTCTTCTAGCCCTTTCAAAAGATGAGGCTATCCTGATCCTCTTTTCACCTATAGCAGCACCTCGTGACAGAGCCCCAGAGGATGTTTGCCTCTTTCTCTTTTCTGCAGCCTCGTTCCTTTCCTTGCTTCCAAAGTGTAAATCTTCACACGTCCAGTGATAGGCGTGTCCAGCTCCACAAATCCACAGAACAGAATTCTCCTTGCTAGGCTGACCCATGTTCTGCACGGTTTCCAAGGCTGGGATATGAATGCATATAGTCCCATGTGTGTGTGCCCAGGTGACAAGGTTGGAGAGATCCTTGCAAAGTGAGCTGACATTGCTGCAGCCTTCATCAGTGATGCTCTCAAACTGCAAAAATATGTTGGAAGTAATTAAGTGAAAGAGGATGTGCATAAAGTTGGATTCCTGGGGGTTGCTTTCAGCCCCATCCCGACAGAATAATAATTCCACATCAGTGATCCTTCTCTTGATTCTTTCTAAAACAGTATGTTCTTTCTTGAAAAATAATCATCATAATTTAAAAAATGATCCTCTTTGAAGGAGGGTAATGTGGGTGTGGTTCTGGAATGGTGACTTTATAATTGATACAAATGCAATTTATGCATAGTTGTGGGCTTGTGCCTTGATCAAATAGTTGTGCTTAAGAATTTATCATACTGCAGCTGAGCCACAGCAGCTGTTCACATGTGTCCTTAAGTTTCAGTACAATTAAGATTAACACACTTGCTGAGTCACCCAAGCAGGTACTGCAGCTCAGCTGAGGGGAGGTGTGCTCTGAGCAAGCTTGTACCTATCAGCAATTCTGTACTCACTGATGGAAGACAAGAGGAAGGATCAGGAATCAGCTCCTCTGCCTCCCTCCTCCCTGCAGCCAACAGGGCTCATAGTTGTGTTGTTGGGAGGATGCTTTCCAGAAGCTGAAAAATGGACCTCACGTCCACGTGTCTAAAATTCTGTAATTTTAATGCTGTAACTGATTCTGCTAGAAATAATTGGTTTTGGTACAATTTATGCTGTAAGATATACTCACCATGCTGCTGTTTCTTATCTCACTGGGTGTTCTTCCGTGTGGAATTCAGTAGAATATCCTTTCTTTTTCTCTCAGGACCTAAAATAACCATCATACGTGTGTGTGTATATTTAGAGAGAGAGAGAAAAAAAAAAAAAATATATATATATATATATAAATCTGGCTAGCAGATGCCTCTAGTTTTTTCCAATGTTCAGCCCAAAATAAATGCTTCCATAGAACATGTATCTTCACAAAGGTAAGCAATCATATTTAGTCCAGAAGAACTCTATATAGAAAGCTTGGCTTATGTAAATATTTGGAATATTTGCCTATACAATGTACCAAAAATACTGGAACAAAATATAAATACTGATGACAGAATTTCAAAAGGGAGATGTTCCTTCCAGCCCTGGCACTTTGTGGCTAGTGATCTTCAGTTCTCCAAACTGAAATGCAGAAACATTTCTGTGTAATAGTCTGGAAGGATGCTGTAATTCCTGTGTCATTGGTTACAAACCTTACTGTCAGTACAAATATTGCAACAGAGCCAAGAAGCCTCACGATGCCCTGTGTGACTGAGACTGCATGAATTCACCATTCATAATGGCAGCCTTTACTCCAGGCATAGTCTTAGTCTGTTATTAATTAAAAGTTTTACATTAAGTGGCAGCAAAAGATACCCAACTGAAAGCACTGTACACTGGAATCCTGTCTGAACTGGCTGTGGGAGCAGCTCTGGCCCTGCAGGCTGAGAGCTTGAGCCTCCAGGGCTGGTTGCCAGCTCTGTGTGCTGCTCTTCCAAGCCAGCTGCAGAAGATGGAAGAAAACCATCCCAGCTGACAGATGTAGGGCTGCTTTGTAAGCTGTGAACATGCTGTTTGTCTGCAGGGATTTATTTCAGGTTAGTTAAACTGAGAGAATGACTGTAGGTGCACAGTTGTACTGCAGGTATCCAACTGTGGGCCAGCATCCAGGCTCCACTGTGCCCTCAGCACCCAGCCCACTCCATGCTGTGTTCCCCCAGCCAGGGCAGGCCAGGATGAGGCCCAGCACCCAGCCCAGCTGCCAGAAGGAAGGAGTGTGGCTGGGGGCCACAGGAGCCACGTGGTGGGGGCAGCCCTTGTGTCGTGACAAACAAAACCCAGGGATTGGGAAACCACTGCTTGGCCAAATTCCTGTGCTGAAGAGCTCCTGGAAGTGTGTTTATACAAGCCTTGCTCTGTCGATTCAGAACTTCTAGAGAGCAGCATGCTTTGGGGCCACACAGCAGCCCAGCTCCACGGCTCAAGCTGGCACAGCACTTAGGAACACTGAATTTTAAATGAATGCTTCAGTCTGCTGATGCCAAAGCAAAACGTGCTTTGCTGAATGCAGAGCCCAAGCGAGTAAGCATGCAAAATGTTCAGGCAAAAGTGTAATTGTTCTAAGAGGAAAGAAAACAAAAGGCCATCAAAGTGGTGTGGACTTCTGAACTGCTCAGCATGAGGGAGTCCTCTTGAACCAGGCACTAACAAATACCTGTAGAACAATTAACAGGTTTTCTTTATCCTAATTAGGCAAAGCACAGGCCTCAGGGAAAAGTTCTCTCTAAGCTCAGGTGATGGGCCACGGCACTGAATGTCCCTTTCAGCAAGAGCAGCACAGCTCGAATCTCTCCTGTCACGTCAGCTTTACATCCCAGTAAGGAATGAACAGCAGGCATCAGATCCACTGCAGCTTGGAGTGAAATTGGTGCATGTCAGCAAAGCTCTGCAAAGCCCTTCTGCTCTTACACTAGCATCAATCCATGTGTTCCTTTTTATGGCTTCCTATTGATAGCAAAGCATTCTGGGCTAAAATTATTGGTGCTGTTTGCAGATGCGAGATTGTGAAACATGCAAAGCCAGGATTTTTAAAGAATTTTCTAACAAAAATCTGCTTGCTTTAAGGTAGTGGAGTGGGCAGCTCCCTGCAGTGCTCCTCAGCCTTCCTCTGCCTGTTAAAAGCTGAACTAAGCTCTGGGAGAACTGTTTTGCTCTTTCTGAAGTTAGAGCTTTATCTTCGAGCTCAGCGTGTGTAACTTCTCCCCAAGGGACAGGACAGCTTGGGCAAACAAAGAATTTCCATGCATCACTTTGGCACTCACACAGTGTGGGAAAAGGTAATAGAAATGGAAGCTCTGTGTGGTCATAAGGCCATGAAGTTACTGACTTGGCAGATGATCATCTTGATTTCTATCATGGGAGCCCTTAATTGGAATGCTTTTATCTCTCCTTATCTCCAAGCACACGTCTTCCTTTTCCTGATCTCACTGAAAAAGCCTTTTTTCTCTTCAGATTTAGGTCCAAATAAAAACTCTGGTAATCATATGAAGGTACTTCTTCAGCCCAGTCCTGCTTTCTTATTTACATTGGTTGAGAGTACCTCCAAAGAAACTGTAAAGTGGAGGAAGACTGAATTTACTGTTAGAACTGAGCAAAAAGGGGGGAATAAAGGAAAGGAAAAAAATGTGTTTACAGCACTACCTGCTTCCAACAACAACAGGCTCTGTGTGGGGAAGGGGTTCAGAGCTTGGGGTTTGTATGTAGAACCCACACCTTCGTGCAGAAAAGCAGGAAATTCCAAAGCTGTGCAGGGAATGTTTGTTTGTTTTTAACCCATAGGGAAATCAGTGCATGAACAGAACCTACAGTTACGTGAATTCATGCTCACTAGAAGAAAAAAGGGGGAAAAAAGTTGTTCTGCTCTCTCATGGCCCTGCACATGGTAAGCTTTCAAGATGTTAACACAATATATGCTTATTTTCTCTATGTATTAAAACAAAAAATGTGGTCAGGTATTTTAAAGAAGCCAGCAGCATTTCAGTGGAGCCCTTAAAGCTGAACTACAATCACTGAAATGCTTCTTCCTATTAAAGACTTTCCTGTGCCTAGTTTGTGTTGTGGGGAAAACATTCAGCCCTTTCTGAAAACAGTTCTTTAGTAAGGTTGTTACCCAGAATCACCTAACATAAATATCCATACTTTACCCTTTTACATTTCCATGAACTCCATGCAGAATTATAGTATGTGGATGGTTGTCTGAAACTCTCTGTGACGTACGCAGGCTTATGCAAGCAGCAGAACTAAATAAAGAGCCTAATTGTATAGACACTGGAAGCCCTTTAACCACGCTGTTCCTGTCCCTCCACCCTGTAATAGTCCTGGATGTGTTTCTCTTATGTCTCATAAGGTCTGCTTCACAGATTAGAAAGCTGAGGCATGCACAAAGCAAGTAAATATGAGAGCTTTGGCTTTTCAGCTCTAGATAAGACAGTGCAGGAAACTGGAACAATCCTGGTTGAAAAACAGGATACAGAGCAGCAGTTCTTAAACTTGGCTCCCACCCCCCTCCCCCAGCATGGGTTGTTTGTTCCTGCTTGCTTGAGTAACACTTATTGGAGGTGGAGGGACACAGGACAGCTGTAAAACATGCATAGAGGAGGGGATGGGCTGCCAGAGAACTGCAGGGAATGGGTGAGGGACACTGCTGGAGGGACAGGGCGTCTGGGGCAGCAGCAAGAGGAAGTTGTGCTGAGCACGTCTGCTTGAAAGGAGCAAGGAGGGGGCTGAGAGTGGAGCAGAAGTTGCTTGTGGCTGCCAAAAACCATTGAACTTGTCCCACCACTTCTTAGCAAGGGCCTTTGGGGTGGATTAATCATTTCCCAGCACATCGTTCTTCCTGTTCTCTGCCACGTTTGTTCCTTTCCTCCCCACAATGTACCACAGCCTTCTCAGCACTTCTTCTGCTCTGTTCTGCTCCAGCTCTCCTTCCCTGCTTGCAGAAATGCAGTTCCTGTGATACTTAGTACTTGCTACAGGGTGGCATGTCTGTATTATGAGAAAGCAACATCCAGTTCTGTGAGAGAGGGCCAGATCTGATTGCATGTACCAGCCCTCAGAGTTAAATGTTAAATGTTAGCATACAGTAAGCTACGTTCCTTGAACAAAAGCATTTTGGTCCAAAGAACTGGACACATTTTTTCATCCGAGTCCTAATTATGTCTTTTCTTGAGGGTCTGCATTACATGGCTGCCATTCTTGTAACAGAACTGTGAGCTCTAAATCAAGTCTTCTTCAAACAGAGCCAATAAAAGCATGCAGCCAGCTGGCAATGGCTCGCCTGCTCCAACAAGCAGTAATCAGCCTCTAAAAACAGATGTAGTAAAGGAAAAAATTAATTTTAAAACATGAACTGCTATAAATAGGAAAAAAAAAAAAAGAAGAAGAAAAAAGAAGTAAAAGCTGAATTTGGAATAGGGCAAATCTGTTACTTGTGCGGAAAATGCTACAACATCATACAATTGTGTTGCTTATCCTGTTAGTGCTGCCATTTGTGAGCAACCTCACACTTAGGATTAGTGCCATCAGGGGGGAGGGGGCTGCTATTTTCTATAGTTATTCTATATGTAGGCTGTTTTATTTTTCCTTTTTTCTTTTTTTTTTTTTCCTTCCAGACCTGCATCAGGGGTGAGTGCCCCATTGTGTCAGCAGGGAGCAGCCTGTGGGAAATTGCCTTATTCCCCAGCAGCCATTTGTGTTAAAATAATCTTTCACTTAACTACCAGCAGAGGATGTCTGTTGGCAAGAAGGTGTTTGTATGAGAGTTTTTCATTCTTGTAGCTGTTCGCCTCACTCTTTGCGGTATTTTTCAGGAAGCTCGAGCTTCGCTAGTCATGTGGTAACATCATCGTCTATGGTAACTTCCTACGATTCTAACCCTCACCATTTCACGGAGCCTGCACACATCACAGCCCTTACCTGCGCTCCTCCCCGCCCCTTCTGCAGGGAGCGGACTCACGGCGCGGCCCCGCCAGAGGGCGCTCGCCCGCCGGCATGCGCTTTGCGCCCCGCCCACCGCCGAGTCCCCGCCCACCGCCGCCGCCCCGCCAATCAACACTGTCCCTCCCATCGACATGCCCCGCCCACTGCAGTGGCACCACCAATCAACACTGTCCTTTCGTCCAAGTGCTCCGCCCACCGCAGTGGCCCCGCCCACCAACAGCGTTCCGCCTGCTTGATTGCCCCGCAGGCAAGAAGGGCGCTAAGAGCAATGGCGCTCCGGGCCGGGCAGCGGTAGTGGTTGGAGGTGATGATCTCGAAGGTCTTTCAGACCTCAGATGACTCCACGATTCTCTGCACTGAGCGTGTAGGAAGCTGGCTATCTTGTGCTACAAATACAGCGCTGTGCAGTGCTGACTGGTGCTGCTGCCTCAGCTGAGCACAGGAACTCCTCCGTGTGCAGACCTTGGATCAGCGATAAGGCTGTTACTGTATCTTCGGTGCTTTCAGTGCTAATCTGTTCTCTCGATTATTTTTTTTATTATTGTTATAATTAAATATTAACATCCCATTTGTCAGTCTGCTAAAAGGAACTTGCTTATCTCCTTCAGTTCAGTTGTTAACGTTCATTGCAGTTTTATCTATTTCTGGACAGTCTTTTTAGCTAAAGTTACAAAGACACTAAAGAGAAATCAGCAGTGCTGTTGGCTGCATCACCCAAAGTTTGCAGCACTGACCTGTGCATTTGATTTGACCTTAACCCAAACACTTTTTCATCTGTTCTGCATCACACGTTGCCTAACCACAAGCAGGGGGTAATGCTTCATAAAGTACTCTGCACGAAATGTGGTAGAAAAAATGTTACTAAATGGTTATTTGTGGTGAAACAGTGACTTGTAATTAGACCTAATTGTTCACAGTGAGACATACTAACCTATATATGTATGTATGTATGTATAGCAGTAGGAAATGATTCTAACTACTGACACCTTAACTCTTTTCCAGGCTTGAGGATTTCACCTTTTTGGAAGCACTTCAGATCTGTGCTGACTCAGTATGTGGGTATGTGCAGAAATCAGTTTTGCTAGCAACAGGCAAAGAGCTAGTTCCCATTTTTATACTTCAGGTGTTTATGAAGGTTTGCATTGGATGTGATTCTAAATTGCTGTGGCTCCTGGAAGTAGACTTTCCACCACTGGAGCTTTTGCTCTGGCAGAATTTTCTGGTGTTGTCTTTGGAAGTGTCACTGTGTCCCTTACCTCCTCCTGGGTCTCTCGAGGTGCTTCAGGAAGCCTCTCACAGAGCACTGCAGTCTAGGGAGGGAAGACAAGGACCTCACTGGCACCTAGAGGACAGGGTAGCCTAGAAAATAAGAGAGGGAAAGAACATATTAGCTATTTAGAAAAGTGATCTTAAAGCAACTTGAAGATCCCTTGTGTGGAATAGAAACAAATAGAAGGTTCTCTACCCTGAGAGCTGAGTCTGCAGTCACTCTTGAGTGGCATCTTGAGGCAGAAGCTGGGATCAGCATCATCTGGAGAAGCACCCTTACAGGCAGCAGCTCCCAGTTTCTGTCTCCCACCTGAGGGCTGCGTTCAGCAGGAGCTGAGTCTCACAGGTGAAAAATACCACAGATGGATGGCATCTTGCCTCTGGAGAGATAGTAAAACCCAGCACTGACACACCTAACCACTAATTTGGAAAAGAAAAATACATTCTGGCATCGCATCCATGAGAGCTTGCCAACCTTTGTCCTACAGCAGTGATAACACTCTTTCCAAAATGTGAGGAAGAGCCAATAATTAAATCCATTCTCTAAATTCAAGAAAAAAAAATAAATGAGATAATGAGTGAGTTGAGGCCTGGAGTTCTCTGCTGTAATTGTCCCAGGAGCACAAAAAGGCACTTCTGAAAAATAATTTGGAAATCTCTCCAAGCCCATAACCATAAAGCCAGCTGTCTCTCACTGGATCTTCCACTGTATGCTCTCAGATGACTCAGGCATCAGTTAACATGTCTGAGAAAATCACCTAGGCTGTTGCTTTCCCGAAGCCTAAGTATGTTCCTCAAAACAGCTGTCTGTGCTGTGCTTTTGGGGATGTAGGCCTGGTTGGTAGAGTTCTGGGTTCCAGCCACAGCCCTGCTCCTGTGTTTACATAATATCCTTTTTGCTTCTTTGCTGACCACACGCCTACTTCAGTGCTCAGGCAAAGCAGGGCAAATCTTGCTAGCTGTCTTCACATTGTTGCAGAAGTAACACAGTGAAATTCAGTATCTTCTCAATAAGTGAAGTTAGATACTTATTTGTAAGCCTCGTCCTTAATGCAAGAAAACACCTATAGCTGTCCCTCTAAATTATACTGGGCTATGCAGGAAGAATGTCTCAGTTCATGTTGACTTCAGCTGCTTGCAGTGTGTGAAAGGCAGGAATTAAGTCAGTGACAGATCTCCAGTGTTTAAGATATGCCACTGTTCATGTCCTTTCCAAATGGCCCAGTCATCGGGTGTCCCTTTTGTGCAATGTTGATGCACATGTTAATGAGATGATGTTTAGAGAAGGCACAGGTAGCTGTGCATAACGTTCTGCAAACCAGCTGACATGAGGCACTGCTGGTACAGTGCTGTCATTGCACTCTGCATTCACTGCCCTTGCCTCTGAGCATCTTACCAAATTAAACATTAAACATTCTAGAGGATATCGTGTTCCTTTGTTTCTTTGGCAACAGAGAACTTGAGCTCTCTTGATCCTCCCCGACTTCACATTTTGCAGGTTCATGTCTCAATGTTCTTCTGACGCTTGTTTTAACACCCTGGAGATCTCAGTTCACTCTCATGTCTGTTATACAGAAAATGTGGTGTACAGTCAACTAGACAAGGAGATAGCTACTTAATGAGCAGACACTCATCAGCACCCAGACCTAAAGGTGGGAAAGAAGTGCTGTGGGGCAGAGCAGGAGGACAAGAAGCCACATCTATTCTTAGAATCCAGGGTCATATCAAACTCTGCCACTGATCACAGTGACTTCCAACATTAGCTAAGTGGAGCACTGACTTGCAGAGACCAGCTGTAAGTAGTATGTCTGTAAATAATAACAGTTAGTAGCCAGTCTCCCTATTAAAACGTCTGGTTTGAGGACACTGGACATAGGTGACTGCTTCTGTTTGTATGCTTCCATCTACTTTGAGCAAATAAGACCCACACTGGTTTGAAATCAGAATATTTCTTTCCATTTTTCTTTTTTTTTTTTTTGCCATTGGAAACACAAGCAAGTCTTCCTAGCACAAAAGCAAATCTCCTCAGCTCTGGGAGCAAGGCTTCCCTGTTCTGCTTCCATTACATAACATCCTCCAGGAACATATGGGCCAGCAAACAGAAGACGTCCGCTGCATAATTATGGCACTGACAAACCCATTGAACCTCAGCAGCTGCCACTGGGGAGATTTCATTCATTCCCAGTATTGCCTTTTAAACTTAAGTGGCACTGAAACAAACACATCTTTGATCCAAGTAGGAAATCATTTGGAGCTCTGTGCTTAATAGAGCTGAAGCCCTGGGAAAATGATGTTTTTATTAGCCTGTATGACAATGCGGGCCTCATGGCAGGCATGCAGCAGTCTGATGTCAGCCCCATTACTTTTTCAGATGTATTTGGAAATATTTGTTCTTGAACTGATGTGGAAAAAAAAAAGTGCTTTAATTCAGCTGTGCTGCTGGAGTACCTATAAACTGTATTTGGGACCTCAAAAGGAATTGAGGGAAGGGGGAGAGGAAGCACAGTTTTGGCAGTTCAAAACAGAGTTGTGTCTCTGCATTTCTCCCCTTGGGCTACTTCATGTTCTTTTGGGGTCACTTGTTTCTCCCTTACCTCAAAATGCAAATGAGAGATTTCCCTGGAAAACGACTCTGTCTTATTCCCTGGTGGAGGTAATTGTAAACTTTGTCAGTCTAAATATTACTCCTAGTTACAAACAATTACATCAACTGAGAAGGGAAGCTGGCTCTTGCACAGACAAATCTGGCATGCTTACAGTAAGTGAGCAATGGTTTGCAGATATATACATCTAATGGAGATATTCAAGATGCTCTCTGTGTGCATCTCTCTCTCTTTTAGGACTCCTTTATTTTATTTTTTTTTTTCATTTAAATGAACTGTGCTCAGACTCTGAAATTCCCTTGTCTGGAGTCATCTAACATCTGTGTTATACCCATTTAAACAGCAGATGCAATGGGAGACAGCCTGACGACAGAGGACAGAGGTGATGAGCTAGCATTTCATCAAACAATACCTCAGCCTGACAGGTGAGCAATGGAGAGCCTTTAGAAATAATGCATGAGCTTCAGGCTCCCCTGCCACAGGAGTCTGTTACCACGCTGCTCACCTGGTAGCTGCTGTTTCTTTTACCACTGATCCTTTTTACAACGTCACCTGTGCTGATGGAAGAATCAGTGTCATGCAGCAGCCCAGTAATGAAGCTGGGAGAACCAGGTTACCAAGTAGCAGTGAGAAAAGCAGGCATTTGGATTTGCAGTTCTGAGTTACACAAAGCCCTCCAAGTTCCCACACAAGTGAGATCTCTTTAAACCCTGCTTGCCAAGCCATCGAGACCCCCTATGTGGTTTATCGGGAAACTGGCACCGTCATTAGAGCACAATAAAATAAAATCATTGTAAGGAAATAAAAGAGCATTCCGGTCTCTTTCTGAACAGATTTGTAGCATGGAAGGTGACTGAACTGCACCAACCTTTTATTGGAGAAAAAAAAAAAAAAAAAAAGCCTCTGAATAAAGAAAAAAAAAAAAAAGTAGAACTTCAGCAACACGGCAGAGAGCAGAAATTATGTTTATTTCACTGCCCTGGGATAGCACAGGGAGATGTGCTTGTAAGGATGGTTGTTTGTATAAATAAATGTTCATTCTTGGCAGTGGAATGCAAACTATGCTGAAGGGCTGGAAACAGACCACTTTGTAAAGCTGAGGCCAGAGTAAGGGAAAGATGAAGTGAGGTTGTGGAGAGGAAATTCACATTCATTTTTAGCAACTTGGAGAGTTTCTCAAGCATGTTTGACATTTCTAATTATGCTGATGTAGAGCCTGTTCCAAGGACAAAAGAAGTCAGGATTACAGGGTAAACAATTAAGAAATTTCACAGTGGCCAGCTAGGGATATTGTTGCCTGTGGGTCTGGAGAATTTGCTGAAATATGGGATCACCTTTCATACTCTCTAAATGGAATTTGAGTGTCTTGCAGAATTCTCACCTAGGTCAGGAGCCTCAGATCTGTACTGTTTTACTCAAGGTGCATTTTTTGATGGCACTGGAAGGAGGTCAGTCTGAACTGCTGCTATGTGTCCAAGCTTTGCTGCAAGGCTTCCTCAGGAGGTGAAGAACAATTTCACTTCATCTGTACCGACTGTTTCAGAATCTGTAACATTACAGTGGAAAATAAGACTGCATTTTCTTGTGGAGAAAAGGATCAGCTCTGCTGCATCAAATCACACAGCCATGGCCTGTTTGTCCATCCTCCATGCTCAGTCTGTTCTACATCATGGCCACAGCATCTCATTTTGTTTGTGTATCACTGAAAAAGGGCTTTGAGTGCTCATTCACCAGCCTTCCTTGCTGAAGAACTCGCAGTGACATCTACCTATTTTAGTTCCTGTATCAATGGTGATACACATAGCACTGGAATGGTAGGAGTTTACCATTTGTTGCTGAGCAGAAACATTTTGGAAAAAAGGTAAGGGAGAGGTTATTAATGCACACCTGCTCTGTTTGCCCAAGATCCCATGGCTTGTGTGCTAATACAAGGGCTGCTACTCGTACTTCTAAGCTTGGTACAGTTGAATAGGAACTTGAATTCTCTTTGAGATAATGGAAAGTCACAGTGGAGGTATCCAGCTTCTGGGCATGAATAAATCATCAAGGGTATGAATTATTCAGAGATCATCCCCACAGCATGTGCTACATTCAGACTCAAGAGGCAGTATCCCTATTGTGTGGGCTTTTTTTCCCTCAAAATTACAAATGTATAACAGGCTAATGACTCTAAATATTCAAATGAAATCTTGGGAAATTAGATTAGAAGAATAATTTATTAAAAAACAACAACAGAGGAGTAAGAAAGTGCATGAAAGAGCTGAGGTACTTCAGCCTGGCTAGAACTACAATGATCAGACATTCTTCTTAGCTCGGTGACACTGTTGAATCAAGCTGTCCACAACAGTTAGAATCACACTGGGAAATATGAATAAATGGTGGCTTAGAAAATTGGGAACACCGATTGGAAGAAAGAGCTGAAATTATATGGGCACACAAACAGGACAGAAACTGACCTGTGCTTCTAGCATCTTGTGTGCAGTTGTGGTGTAAGTTAGAGGGGACATAACCAAACCAGAGATGAATCCACTCCAACTCACACTGGAAGAAATAAAAAAGTCCAATGCACTCAATAGCCAGGAAATGGCTGGTTCATCCCTCACAGGAAATGAGTCACCCGAAAGCATCTGCGAGGAGCAGCAAAGACAGGGAAGTTCTGAAATAACATGAGCTGATAACAACAGCATAACACACACAGATAAATCTCTCATTTTGTCATTCATTAGGAAGGAGGGAAGAAGTGCAAAACTTCAGATTTTTGGGTTATTCTTACAATTTTAATTTGATGCAAATACTTGCAGCACAAAACTGGGGGCAGATGGTTCCAATGCTGTTAAAAGGTGGATTCATATTGTAAAATGGCAGCACTAATGAGAAGTGTCATGTGCTGATAAAATTGCTTGCAAAGTGCTATCCATCTTTGTCCTTGGAAGGGAAACATCAAATTGCTGTGTGGCACAGCTAACACAACATTTACTTTTGCAGCTCGAGCTGCTTTGAAACATTTCCTTCTGTCTAATATTGAAAATATATAAAGCTCAAATCCAAAACAATGCATCCACCACCTACCAACTGGTCCACTTTTTGATGATTCTACAGTGCCAAACTCTTCTGGATCAGTGGAAAAAATCCTTCCTTTGCTAATGATGCATGCTGCTGGTAAAACTGAAAGCCTACAGTTAGGAAACGACCTTAGCACTGAGCTAACACAGCCAGCTTGTGTGCTCACCTCTCTTCCTCCAGTAACCCAGCTCTCTGCCTGTGCAGCTTGTAACTCCTGCCCTGCAGTGCTTCTGGTCCCCCTTCCTCTCCATTCCTCAGGCTGGCTGATCAGCAGACACACAGGTCTTATTTTGGAGTGATAAACATAGCAGTGAGATTGCTCTTTCTCTGCTAGCTCCAGCCTAACCATTTCCAGGGCTGTGATGTGGCATCATGAATGATGCACATAAGAATGTTCTTGGCATCCCAAGATGTTGCTAAAGCTGCAAACACTCTTTTAAACAAAACAGCCATGTTAATTGAAAGTGGTTTAAAAGAAATAAAAGCAACAAAAAGAAGCAAAGTTATTTGAAACATCCCCTGCCACTCCAGATTGCACTGGGGCTATATTGTAGCAGAGTTATAAATGAAAGTGTTTCCTGGTTTAGAAGTTTGCAAGGTAGTGAGAATAAAAAGGGAGAGGAGAGTGCAGGAAAAGAATGTTTTGTCATTAAAAGCACTATCCAGGATCTACACTACAGACAGTTCATTTTCCTCATCAGAGACCACATTTTTGGAGGGTTCCTGTTTTCAGTTCACTGATAGAAGGGCAGGATCGAACAGTCAGCAGAAGAGGGAAAAAGCTTTCTAGTTTGCCAAGGAATACAGTTACACAGAAAAGCATCCTGTGACTGTAGCACAGGCTGCAGGGCTATTTAAAAACACAAAGAAAAAAGGCAGGAAAAAGGTCCTTTTCGTTTCAGAGTTTTCTCTTCCCGGCGTGGTAAATTAAACTCAGAGAGATAACGTAGGCAGGAAGGGCTTAGAAAGAGAAAAACCTGGGTGTGTCTCTCCAAGGCCTTTCTGGCCATGTGAGTAACTGGAGCTGGGGGAGGGTGGGACCTTGTGCTGGATTGTACCAAAGCAGCTGATTCATATTTTTTTCCTTCTCCTCCTCTTTTTTTTTTTTTTTTTTTTTTTTTTTTTTCTTTTCACATGGCTATTTTCATGTGGGCTTCTTTTTCAAAACAAAAAGATACAGTCAGGTCATTCTCCCATACACTGGTGGTTGTTTTTTTTTCCTCATAAAGTATTATCTTGTTCTCAAATGCATTTTCCTGTTTGGCCCAGAGAAATGCTGCGTTACACAATAGCATCCTTAGTCAGTTTGCTACCATTGTGTCAAAAAAGATACTAGAGTTTCTGTTAAGTATTACAGTAAGATGATAAAAGGTTGCATAATCAGCATTTCTGCTACAAAATCTAAGTAAGCTTGCACAAATTTTAACAGTTTTTTTTTTTTTTAAGTTAGGCCACAACTGCACAAGAGGTCTTTGAAATACAATAAACCCTTGATGGCATCCACCCATGTTTGCTTTTCCAAAGATATTTGGAAAGCAGCTGGAATACCTGCACTTGCAATAAACTAATTTCAACAGCCACCAGAAAATTAGATGTTAGATAACATGAAATGAAACTCTTCCATGTGAAACATAGCTTAAAATAGGCACAGTTGGAGAAAGTGTGTTATGGCTTGTGAGACAGGAATCAAATTCCTGCTCTGCTTTGATCAAATCAGGTTAACTCTCTGGCTCTCATCTCAACGACTCTAAAGCAAATCACACAATCCCATCATTTTCCCATTCTCTGACTCACCTAAGTTGTAAATCTCTTATCAGTGGCACAAGCTAAGCCTCCTTTCATATGCAGTACGGAGCAAAATAACTTGGATTTCAAAAGGGGCCTTTGGTCGCCTGTAGTAATAGGGAAGAACATAACTCTTCTCCATTTTGAACTTTACTGTTGCAGCAAAGGGCAAATGGCTGGGAGCCCAACGAAGCTCTTGATAAAATCTGAGCTCACTGGGAGCTCTTGCATGTCACAGATGGTGCCAAGAGTGAGCTGACAAGCAAAGCATCCCACTGCTCTATGAGAAAACAGGGCTCTGGGCTATAGGAACCAACACAGGAATATGTGTTCAAGAAAAACTTGCAGCTGACTTCACATTTTTAATGTTTTTGGGTTTGTTTGTTTGTTTTTTTTTTTTTTTTTTCCTATAGTTACCTGTCTAGCATATGCTTCAGAAGAAAATGAGAACACAGAAGGCATGCCTGTACCTGTCAGAACTACCTAACATTAAGCAGAAGCAATGCCCAAGGACACGACTCCATGTTTCATCTGCACTTTTAAATCTTTTCCCAAACCTTTGCAGGTGCCACAGACGCTGCTGTGTTACAGCTCCTATGCTTCCATCCATGTATTTGTTTACTGCTGACAACAGAGGCAAGATTGGCAGATCTGTACAAATGTTTTCACAAAAATGTCAGCAGTGGGTGCACGAGGGATGAAGGATCCTTTCTGCAGCAAGACCAGTATTATGTTGCCTAGAAACACCCAAAACAGGGCTGCAGCTAATGAAGCCAAGATCAATGTCGACTGAACGTTAGATATTTGATTCAGTGCTACACAAGGGACTCGTAGGGAGGCCTGGGACAATTAATTTTTGTGCTGCAGTCAAAGGATGGAATTATGACAAGCGAGGCAAAGAAAATAAATAAACGCTGGTAGAATTCCCAGCGAGGAAATATTGGCTATATTTAGACAGAAACACGCAGCTTTTCATCCACATGGTGTGAGCAGGAGGAGCAGCCCAGGGCTGCCAGGTGGGAGTGCTGTGGGGTGAGCACTGCTCAGCCTGCTGGGACCACCTGAACCAGAGGGATGCTCACAACTGCATCCTTTTTCTCAATCACAGAATCACAGAATTGCCAGGGTTGGAAGGGACCTCAAGGACCATGAATCTCCAACCCCCCTGCCACACGCAAGGCCAATGATTTTCTTAATGATTTTAAAGAATCTGCATCTCTTGGCACACAGAGGAGGTGGATGTTTAAGAGAGCCGAAAATCCAATCCAAACGTATCCGTGTGTTTGTATGGCGTATAAACTTGCCGTAGCTGGCCCAGCACCTGCAAAAAGTACTTTAGCTTTTAGAGGTTTGAAAAAGGGCAGATTTTTACCTCGGCTTCTGGGAGATATGAAGCAATTACACGTATTCAGCACGAAACACGCTTATCTAAGTAATCACTGATTGGAAAAGAGGTGTTTCTGTCAGCAAACGCTGCCACAGCTGTACCTGAGGGGAACGTCGCCTCAGGCAGCACAGCCTCACCTCACGCACTGCCTCTCTGCACAGTCCTCATCATTAAGACATGACCCGCAAATAAACAAACAGTTTTGCCCTAGATTTTAAGAAAAAAAAACCTCCTAAGTGCTGTCTAACTTCATCAGCCCCCCACCAGACTAGCAATTAACTTAATTGATCGAGTCTCCCTTACTCGAGATGGCGGCTGATAGCAGCGCGCGGCTTCTATGCCCGTAGCCAAGATGGCGGCGACCGCTCCCCGCGCAGGAGGCAGAAAGGCGCCGGGCCGCGCCGCGGATGACAACGCAATGTGCACGTTGGCGCCCTTGCCCGTACTCAAGATGGCTCCCGATGAGGTTATTTCATGCCCTGCCCCCAATCAAGATGGCGGACGCGTGTGGCATTTCGGCATCCTTCCCGCTCTCAAGATGGCTCCTCCCAGCCGTTTCCCGGAGCCTATCCAATCGCGCCACACACTGGGGTTGAGAACCGCCCCCCGCCCCGCCCGCAGCCAATAGGCGCGTCGAGAAGCTCCAGGGCGCCAACCTCCGGAGGGCAATCCCCGCCCCGTCCATCAAGATGACATCTCCAGTAGCCAATGGGATGCTGGCGCGGGTGAGGCGGGCCGGGTGGCGCCGCCATTTTGTGAGTCTATAACACGGAGCGGTCGGGCTCGTTCCTGTTATTCCGGCGTCTCCACTCCGTTCCCTGCGGGTCTCCTCCGTGTGCAATGGACGGGTGAGTCTCGGCCGGCGCGGGCGGGGCTGCGACGCTAGCCGCTCCGAGGGACCGCGGGGAGCGTTACGGGATCCCTCCCGGGGTCCGAAGGAAGCGGTCGAGTTGTGGTACCGCGCCGGGGGCTGGGGCGGTACCGGGAGGAGGAGGAGGAGGTGGAGGGGGGGAGGGGGCACCGTGGGCGCGGTCGGACCGCGAGGGGAGGGGAAGGAGCCGGGGGGTGCTGAGGCGGGGGTTCTTTACCACAGGACGACGAGCGGCTGTGGGGGGCGAGAGCCGCGCTCTGAGGCTCCCCCCCCCCCCCAATCCTCCGCTACGGTGCCGGGGTTCGGGAAGGCCGCGCTCAGCGCCGCACCGCTCCGCGCCCGGAGGTGGGAGCGGCGGCTCCGCCCCGCTGGGTGCTGGGGGCCCGGCGGCGCCGCGTGGGCGTGAGGGGCTGGAGCGCGTCCCCGCGTGCGCGCGCGTGTGGGAGGGGGTGGCGGGAGCGGGCGCACCTGGCGACGGGAGCGCGCACCTGGAGGCGGGGGCGCGCTTGCGGCTGATTCACTCCCATTGTCCGCAGCGGGGAAAGGCGCGGGGCTTCCCGTGTTTGTGGGAGCCTGCGGGGCGATGCGGACGCTGTAAGTGGAAGTAAAAGCAACCGAAACCTTTCTGAGGTGTATGGGGAGGGACGGGGTGCGGAGCCACGGGTTCGGCTCTTCGTTTTTCAGATCCTTTGGCACAGAACTCTCTGCCCCGCTGGTTCTGCTCCGGGTTTTCCCCCTCAGCCCGTGACATTAACGTTTGCTTTAAGGCTAAAACTGCGGTTTCTCGCTGATCTGATTCTCGTTCCTTGTTGAGCTGCAGTTCTTCCCAGAGCCCCCAGAAAAGCTGTTTGTGCTCCCAGCGCCTTAAAGCACAACAAGCCCAAGGTGGTGCTCCTCATGCATCGCGTGGCTCGGGAAGTGGTGTGCTCTTTACACTGAAATAATGTCTGTTTTCATCAAAAAGGAAAAAAAACCACATCCCAAAACTATATCTTACAGTACATGCAGTTGGGAAAGCTGCTTTGCTGCATGTGTTACAATAGCTCTTAAGTTACAAGTGTGAATTATTCCTGGCTTATGGAGGATCTCTGTGTGATCTGCTTACCCCAGGAAAGCTGTCCCCTGCTGGAGTTTCAGCAGATCCTCTGGTGGCACTGTGTGCCTTCAGCAGAGCTGTGATTTCTCCTACCCAAAGTGATGCCTGGTTTGGTGTTTGGTTGATCCTTACTGCATGCAGGGAGGGCTGTTTGGGAAGGGATTCAGGTTCTGCCCTGCTGCTTAATCTTTTATCTGTTAGCGCAGGAATCATTTCATTTTATGTTAAGAGTAACTTCATTAAAGGTTGTATTGCCAGCTCTTCTAGAAAGTGAACTATGAATCCCATATTGAGGCTTGTTATATGATAAGAACGCAGCTGAAGATATAATGTGCAGGAGAAACAAATGAAAATATGACGTTTAATAAAAACTAGATTGGTGGTGCTGCTGTTAGTTCTGTGTAGTTTATCACATGGGTTGCAACTCTCAATAGTGCTTGGCATGTAAAAGCTTTTCCTGTTGGATAATTGTAAAGGCTGTCCCCTGCTAAGGCGACTTTATGTAAAACATTTCCTGTGCCTGAGGCCCGCAGGAGGAACAGGAAGCAGGAGCAGTTGCTGGGGGTAAGGCTGAGAGTTTTGGAAACTGGAGAGATTCCTTCTTCATAATGCACTTTGCTGGGAATACCTTAATGACTGAAATCCATGGGTCAATGAATGTGTTTTAATTGATGAAACGTATACTCATAGAATATGTATAGTTGCTGTAGAATGATTCTTTAAGCTGATACGTACAGATGGGTGTGATTAGCTCCTTAGTGGTGGCCCTGGCAGTGCAGCAGAACTCATCTGAACCTGAGCAGAGCCTGGAGAATCCCAACCCCTGCGAGGCTGCAGCTCCAGCTGCAAACTGCTGCGGTGTGATGACATGGCAGGTTGGGTTGGAGGAGGAAGTGTGAGGAGCTGAGCTGGCCTGGGCGTGCGTGACAGCTCATTTGTGGAGCTGGTGAGATGGGAATGGCTTAATAATAAGATGGAGCAGTATTTAATTCCCTAAAAGATGAAGCGGTGCAGAAGGGCAGGGAAGGAAGAACGAGTCTGTAAGTTTTCTGCTGTTATTGGCTGAGGTTTGAGTGGTGTTCTTGAATACTTCAGATTTCATGTTGTCGTAAGAATGACTGCACTGCTTTCTGTTAGTGCTGTGTGTTCTTCATGGCTGCAGCTAGCCCTGCTGGGGTCCTCTGCCCTGAACATTTGGACTTTGTCAGTGATTCTGTTTGAAAGATAGGAGCTGAAATGGGTGGTGCTGCACGTGGTGCTCCTATCTCAGTTGTGTTACATTGCTGCTTTGCCACGGGTTGGATTTTATTTATAAAAATAAGTAAAAATCTTCAATGCGAGGGTGCAATTGAAATTCTCTGCCTGCCTTGAGCACTCCCACTGGAAATAACATCCAGGTGTGGTGATGCTCTGGAAGGTTCCTGGGGTGCAGTGTGACAGACTGATTCCAGCAGGGGAGATGCTCTGTGGGTGTGCATGGAGTGATGGCTGCTGCTGACAAGAGCTAGCACAGGTTGCTTGGTGTACAGCTATGTTCACGTTGATCATTTAATCTGAAATTCTCACTTCAAAAGCTTAAGCATCTGTGATAGTTGTTTTTTCCTTCTGCTGTGTTAGGCTGGGAGCTGCCTGGCTGTGCTCAGGTGGAGCTGGGCTGTGAGCACCAATAGCTCCGAGCATTGCTGGTCCTCATTGCTGAGCTGGCTGCTCCTTCAAGGTTAAGAGAGGGTTTCTTTACAGAATAGGGGAGGTTAACTTCATCCAGTGTCAGGTTTTTTAAGCACGGTGGAGGTGACTGTTGGTGATGGAGCTGACTCTTGACACTTCTGCCCTTGGTTTAGTCAAAGGCTGCATTCTCATCACACTGCATTCCTGTGAAGGGAGAATGCTGGACTTGAGCAGCGTGGGCTTCTCAGTTTCAGCCCCACAGCCTTATGCTTAAAAGGGGTACGTTCCATTCTGGGCAGTGGAAAAGCTGCATTTTTATTTTCCTAGGACTGCTGGGTCTCGGGTCTCCACCATCACCATCTAATAATTTTCCTTTGTATGAACTGTCCTTGGCTCACCTGCAAAGACAACTGTGCACTTTGACTTGCTTTTTTTCTTACTGCTGTAAACTATGCTGGATATTTGTGGCAAACCTATCTAACTTTTTAATCCTTTTCTTTCTTTTTTCTACAGCATTGTCCAAGATATAACAGTTGGTACAAAGGTAGGCACTTCTCACTTTTTCTCTCTTTTTACACTGCTCAGCATCTTGACCTAATTTTAGCCTCGCCAAATGTAGATCTTGAGCTTGAAGGGGTTATTTCTGGTACCATGTCCGTTGGTTTTAACCAGAAGGTAATTTAGTTTCATGTGCATTAAAACTTTTATTATAGCTCAGCACTTAGCTCTTGGCATTTGGACATTGATTATCAACTGTCAGAAGAGAACGTTATTGCATTTAGGAACAGCCCTTTTCCCCTGCTAAAATGTCAAGCTGTACTTGTTATGTGTGTGCTAGACAATGGTTCTCAATGGAGAAATTGGTCCTTTCTCTTTAGAATTCCCCTTCTGCCACAAAATGGAGTGTTTAGCTGCTGATTTCTATCTCCTGTGAGTACAGTAAATATGACCTTTACCCTCCAGTCTCAGGTTCTGAAAGTGCAGACCTAACCCTGAAACTAAAGTGCTGACAGGAGCCTCCTTATCTGTGCTGCTCAGTAATAGCTGCTGTGTTCACAGGATAAAGCACATTCCTCTGAAATGCTGAACTGGAATGTGTGGGACAGATTGGCGCTCCTTGGTGTATTAAGGGCTTTTTATTTTCCTTAGTGAACATGGTAGGTAATGTTCTGGGATCAGGGTCACAGTAGTTCAGCCCTGCTGGTTCTTATTTGATAGTGCATGGATGTGGATGTTGGCCTTCAGAGGAACGATTGTACAGCTTTGTGGCTGTGTTAGTATCTTCATTATTAAGTAAGGAACAGAGATGTGCGTCAGCTCAAATAGCTGGTGGAGCGATGCAGTGTGAGATAGGGCTGATGTGGAAGGGAGCTGAGCTGATGTGGTGTGAGCTCTGGTGGGTCTGTGCAAGTGGAGGAGAAGTATTAGAGACAATTTGCTCCTAGAGAGCAAATAGTTGTAATATTGAGAATACAGAACTGGATGTGAGTGCTGTAAACACAGGTGTGTGTGTGTTAGTGCTCCAGGGTTTCTGAGGAGTGTGAAACATGAAGAAAATCTCTTTAGCAGCTTGTAGGGGCAAGGTTGTTCTCACTTTTGCAGTATGATAATCTGAAATCTGAATCAATCATAGTGACAGCACGGCGTTGTCAACCAGCACTGAGCACTGCCTGCTGCGAGGAGCTGAGCTTCCACTGAAGGAGGAGAAGGGGAAGTTAGAGCACGGACAGTGCAGGCTAATAGTTCCTAGCTACTTCACAAAGTGAAGCAAACAGTCTCTTGACCACCACTCTGAGTAATCTGATTAATCTGGGTTGAAGCCCCCTAAATTGGAATTAATGTTGCATCTGTTAATCTGCAGCTTTAAGCGATGCTTCTACGCAGCTAAATGTGACTAAGAAGCTTCTGAAACTGTAATTGTGGTCCTCTCAGTCCATCTTGAAAAGCTTCAGGATGTGGTGTTGCATGCTTCATGGTTCTGTCTGTGGGGCACAGAGCAGTCAGGTGGTTATAGTGAGGGCTGGGGGAAATCCTGAGCTCGTGCTTTCACTCCTAGCACAGGACAGAGCTGTAACAGCCTCAGTACTGTTTGGCCATTGGGGCAGAGAGTGGAGAAGTGCACAGAAAATGAAGCTGTGTGTTAAGGCAGGCAAGGGGAGGGTTGAGATGGTTGAATCGGATCTCAGAGCAAAAAGGGAAGTTGAAACATCTTGATAAAGGTAAGTTCTTAAAAACTTTTTCTGATACAGCCATGATATCTGATTGCTTAAGTCATTGAGTATGTCAGCGTAGCTTATGTAACAGAAGTTGTGTTGTCAAATGGTGAACTGTAACATTTCATTCTTATCGTGGATTTTGCTGTAGGTGGGTTAAAATCTTGTCTGCAGCAACAAAGCGAGGGCTTCTCTTAGAGCTGTGTGCACAGAGCGAGATGCAGGCAGCTCATCACCAAGTTGTGTAATCAATTGCTTGTTGAGAGCACTTATCTCAGTGGTAACCATTAAACCTCATTGGCTGCAGATCTTTGTGATGCTGCTGTTGCTTCTTCAGTGCTTCTATTTCCATCTGCTTTCCTTTGGTTTGCCAGAAAGCAGTTGGAAGGACTGCAGAAGGTTTCTGTAACATCACAGAAACATTTCAGTCTTCTCTGCTACAATAACGACATTGATAGAGCTCTGTTGTTCTGGTGTCATTTTTCTGACCCCTGGGGCATCACTGAAATCGCTTTGAGGATTAACTGATTTTTCCCTCCCCCCCCCATTCAGAAGCAGATGTTCCTTATAATTGCTTGATAACTTACCATAATGTGTAGCTGCAGTTTAGTGATCTGCTGGCTTTATAAAGCATTTCTAGCTGCTGGCTTGAGCTCCTAGGCTGGACATGAGTGCTTCACCTGGAAAAGTGTTCTTGGCCTGGGGTGTAAACTGACTCATTTTCTCTATGTGCAGAGAAGGTAGGAACACAACTCTGTCAAGCTCCTTAAGGCATTAGGGGATGAGTCTCAAAAGCTGTGAGCTCTCTATTTTCTTGATAAGAGAACACTGGGCACCTTTTTAGACGTTCTTGGTGTGACTGAAATACCCCAAAGCTGGAGACTTCTTGAACCAGTAGGGAAAGTGTCTGTAACCCAAAAACACTGCTGAGCAAACTGTCAGGGATGATTTACAACAACGACCTCTTGGTTGTCTCCCTGCTGTAAGATGTTCTGGGTTATTGCAGTCCAGCTTTCAAATGGAAGGCTTTGTAGAAAGGTGTACGTTTGCTCTGCTTTGTTTTAGAGGTGGGGTCTGGGCACCTTTTGTAGGATTTTTTCCCATCCTTCACGTGTTATGAATCCTGACACGTTTGTGTTCGTTATACAGAGATTGTGTTGTATTTATGTTCTGTAACTGAAGTTCCCAGGTGCTCTCATGGCTGAATACCTGAGTGCTGTGCTGCCTGATGCCCATGTTTCTGTTGGGTGGTAACTGTGGCCATTCCTGGGAATTCCCATTCCACCAAATCCTCATGCTCTTCAGTCTGAAGTATGTCAACTTGTTTAGGAAACTCATTACAGTTCTGTTAAGGACTCTTGATGTATGGACTTCTGGAATGTCCTGTAGATTGGAAGCACATGACTTGAGTCTCTCATCTGTCCATGATTTAATATCTGGGAAGGAAGGAAGCATCTCCTTTAGATGGGGGCACAGTACTTGGGCTTGAAGGTGTTGGGTCTGGTCTGGGCACTGTTTCTAAGCAGGACTGCCATAGAGAGAGTATGAACTGTGATATATTGTAATTCTTGAAAGTTGAATTTCAACTAAAAAATGTTGCTGGAAATGCTGAACAGTCATTGTAGTTTCTCTGTTAAATCGAGCTCTTGAGAAAAGATGACACTTCGAGGAAAAAAACAGTACACTTTTGTGGCATCTGAGAAGTTAATTTTTAAAATGGGGTTTGCTGGAGTGTGATACAGACTGCCTGCATAGAAGTGATTTGTGGTCAAGCAAGGATTTTTGCCATGGGAACAGTAATTATGGCTTCAGGCAGCGGGCCAAGAATGCTGTGAGGAAATTCCAGTCCTCTCCTATGGCTTTAGTGAGAGGCTGCAACAAGCTGGCTCTTGTGGCCTGCCTGCAACAGGCGTGATCACACATGTAGGGCACATGGCTGCAGCACATGATGGGGAGGGGAGAAATGCTCCATCTCATCTGGGTGATCTGCTGTGCAAAGTCTGCTTTTGTGCACCTGTGTGCAGTTCGTAGGTGACTGTCCTGTGCAGAAGCAAGCAGTGAGGAATGGCGGGTTATGGAACTGCCTAAATTCTTTCTTAGCAGGATTTAAAGGTATTGGTTGAAGCGCAGGTGGTAAGCAAGGTTGTTAGCAGAGGCTTATCAGCTGTCAGAGCTGCCTAAAACAGTTCTTCACTCTGCATCTAGAACTCTACATGGAAACAAGCTGAAGCTGTGTGTGCTTGGGAAGAGGTGGAGATGCACACTTGCTAGTGAGATGATGACAAACGTGGTGAGGAAGGGTGAATGTAGTTTAATTTCTACCTCCATGGGGCTCTTATATGGCTGTCTGCTAAGCTTTGCATGAAAACTCATCAAGTGCTGCTCTTAGTTCAGCGTGTGTTGTGGTAATCTCAGTGTAATTGCTTGGTCTGTGCTGAAGCAGTTTCTGGTTATTACACAATAATGATTTGGAAGGGATTGAATTAGTGTGGGGTTCCTTCTGAACCTGCATGCTCAGTTTGGCTTATGGGTTAGGTCACCAAATATTCCTTCATCGCTTCCATCTGTTCCAAAGTGATTCATCCAGCGGTGTTTGTGTGCTGGTATTTGTGTTCAGCTTTATGGAGAACCTGTCTGCTCTGCTGTAATGATTAGAGGAGCTCAAGGCTGACTGCTAGTTAAGTTTCAACTTGGGAACAGTGGATCATAAAGCCTGGGTGTGTGCTGTCCTACAAAGCAAGAATGACTGCATTGCTGCAGCGTTTGCCGTTTAGGAATTTTAGAGCTATTTGCAATGGCCACACCTTTTATTTGCTCAGAGGGCAGGTTTGTTTCATGGAGTGTCTCCATAGCAGCTAAGGCTGAGAAAGAAAGTCAGGGAGGGGCTGATGTGATGAGGGGTGAAGGATCTGGCTTTGTAAAGCTGCTGTGTGCCTGAACTGAGGCATGCTGTTGCCAAATCCCACCTCGGGTTGTGGCAGCAGTTGCTTAATGTCATGCTGAAGTTTCTGGTGTCTCATAGTGTATGTATAGATGGGAGTTCCTATAGACATTGTACCAGGTGTTGTGGCAGTATGTACTGTAGGGAAACAGGCTTTCTGAGTGCCAAGTTGTATGCAATGCTGTGACCAACAAATCTGGTTTCCAGGATGCTGAGAAATGTGAGTACCCAGTATGTCAGCGTGAGGCTTACTGGGAAGTTCAGCATGCTGGCTCTTATGAATGGCCATTACACTGACTGTGGCCCAGACAGAGATGGGGCTGTAGCAATTTAAAAGGCTCTGAGTTAAAGGTGCCAGGTGTTTGCTGTCCCCAAATGAGCAGAGTTTTTAAATAGTGCTTGAAATCTAAATGTGCTAATGCCCACATAGCATCTGGCTGGATTTAACTTGCAAGTGTTCCAGGGATTTCTGCACTTGAATCAGAGCATCAAAATCAGCCAGGAGCCACTGAGTGGACTGAGCCCACCCCCCAGCTCTTATTTTTGGGTCTGATGTCCCATCTGTGGGAGATGCAGTTACAGCTGAGAACCACTGCATGGTGCAGTGCCATGGCTCACCTCACAGCCATGAAGCAGGCTGCAGGCCTCAGTTGCTCTGTATTAATGTTAAATATCCTCCTTTGAAGGAGAATGTGCTTTTATCACGTGTTCTCCAGAAGTGTTTTCACGCACAGATAAGGATCTGATATTTTTCTTGCTGCTCTACCATGAAATAGGTAAAGAATACTGGGGGCAGGAGGGGAAAAATGAGTATTGGGGGTAGAATGAGCCTTGCTTTGAGTGAGGCTCCTGTGGGAGATGAGGAAAACTTGCACCATTCTTCCTAGTAGTTGAAATTTATCTCCATTCCTATCTCTTGAATCTCAGCAGAAAACACTGGAATGTAACTAAAAATGTGTGTGAATGAGGTCACTGGACTGGATTTTCCTTACCAGCTCCTTTGCAGAGAGATTTGAGTCTCAAAGTATGCATTCTTCTGTTCCTTTGGGACTAAGCTCATGTGGAGCCTTTGAAACACTTTGGAGATGCCCAGTTCTTTCTGTGCTCTGAGTCTCTCCTCCACTTTTAGCAGAGCAAAGGATTTGGGTAACTGTGTGTGAAAGTGTTACTATGGTGGTCTCTTGCAGGGTCCCAAATCTGCATGATTTTAGGAAGCACGTAGTATAAGAATGATGCTGATTGGGCATGCTTGCAGGGCTGGAAAGGGTGTTCAGAGGGATGCTGGTCTGTTGATCCCATCTGTTAAAATATGTATGTATTCTTGGCCAGCTAGTAGCTTGTGCTGGCCTTGCAGTGATGGGTGACTTCCCCTGTCTCCTTTTGCTAGTAGCTTTGTGCTGCTTTCTGCTAGTAACACTTACCTTCTTGTAGCTGTCACCACGTACTGGTATCACCTATTGATCTTTAAGTTCATGCTTTGATCACTGTGTGTACACCTTAAGCTTTTTGCACTGGCAGAATGTGGTTGGTTTATTGTAATGTGAAATGAATGACAGGACATGGAGTGGCTAAGGGGTTACATTGGGCAGCTGGACATTTCTGTAGAGTTTCTAGGTGTGCCTTTCTTCATTCCCAACCACGGTGAAGTTTAGGTGTGATCCTGGTGAGAGTGAGCCAGATGGTTAGTGTGTTATGGGCTAAATATTGGGTTTTTAAGCTCTGAAAGCAGAGGCTAATTTGAAATTCTTACAACTCATTTGTTAAAATGTGCTTTTAAAGCCAAAAAGTGGCTTAGAGTTTGGGGGATGGTTGAGAATGTAACCTGGAAAAATAGAGAACACTGGGATTCTGCCTTGCAGCAGGTTTCCCTTCTCTAATTCATGAAAGGCAGCTAAAATATTGATAACGAGCCCACACGAAGCAGGAGTGTTGCATTAATTTAATGCAGCTTGAGCAACAGGCCCTCCATAGCTGTGTGCTGAGGACAGAAGGAGGTTGCTGTCATAGCAACACTCCCAGGCAGTGCTTTACCTGTCAGCAGAGTGTGTCTAATTGGTGCTGGTGGTGCTGGAAACAGCCTTACCCTGGACTAGGTAAGGCTTGGCAATGCAGCTTTAAAGATGGTATTTTTTTCTGTAAACAGGAAGAGGTTTATTAACTGAGCTGATGAATTTATGCAGAGCAGTGTTACTGTGTTAGCATAGTGTTGCTTCTGTTAATCTCTTTGTAAAAATATGAGCTGCAACAGAATGAGCTGAGCAGAAATGTCAGTCTGAATTATCTGTGAGTGGGGTGGCTGATTTTAATGTGAAGAGCTGGCTGATGTGTGGCACAACTGGGCTTCTCCCAGGTGCTTGGGAATACAAAGGCAGAGGAGTGCTGTGGGCTGAGCCTGGCCAGCAGCCCAGCACCCACACAGCTGTGTGCTCACCTCCTTCCCTCCTTATGGCTCAGAGTTCTGCCCTTAAAGAAATAAAAACATTGAATAGTTCAGGGTCTGCACTTTTTGTTACTAGCCTTTTCAATAATGCTCAGAATCCGCAAGGGAGATGGTGCTGGCAAGAAGCTGCATCTTCTGAAACAACCAGACTTGATTTGTTTCTTTTGGGTCTGGTGCAATGCATTGCTTTGTATGGGGCATTTGAGTTTATTTATAACACAGTTTTAAAGAATAAAAGACCTCTTGGCAATCACTGCAACCATAAAGGCAACTGCTGAGAGTCCCACTGATATTCCTACCACAGAGTGTGGATGGATGGAACTGTCTTCAGTTTCCTTCGGGCAGTGTTTTTCCAGAAAGCACCCACCAACAGAGACTTGCAGTTAGGTGAGTCCCAGCAGCACCAATGAAGGAAGAAATGCAGAGGAAAAGGCAGCAGCTGGTGGGGTTTCCCTCTGGTGAAGGCTTCCCTGCACCTACTGTCTGGTGTCACCCCAGCTATGGCCTGGTCTCTCCTAAGCTTGTTCTCTTGGCATTTCTGTGCAGGGCCACCAGGGCTGGATGTGCAAAAACCAGCTTGCCTCTTGCTTGCGCTCAGAAATCCCAGTGCTAATTACAGCAACTGTTAAAAGGGCCATTGCTCATTATGACTTTGTTAGGTGACATTGCCATGGGTGCTTCTTGCCTTTGCAGGACCAGGTCAGTGCTGTGCAGGTGATCAGCAGCAGCACATGAAGCATGGCATTGGAACCTGCCCCAATTTCACCTATTCAGTACATCAAAGTTCTCGAGCTCAGCTTTGAAGAGCAGCACCGAGCAGTCAGACAAGAAATTCAGGATCTGAAGAAGAAAAAACCTAATCTCCTGTCTGTAATTCAGTGTGCTGGGCTCAGTGTGTGACCTACTTTCCTGACCTGTTCCCTGTGCAGCCAGCAGAGCTCCTGTTGCTGTGCAGGTCTTGTTACTGCAGGTGCCAGCAGATACTTGGGGGGGGCTGGGGGGGAGTAGCATCCTGGCAGCTTCCATTGGAGTGCCTGGGTGGGAGTGAAGGCAGGGCTGGGCTTCATTTCCTATTGCTGCTAGGGGTCTTCTACTGTGACACTGCTATGTAAAATAATTTGGAAATTAGAAGAAGGTGCTTTTGGGTGTTGAATTTACGTGGCCGTGTTTGCTTGTGCTCACAGTGAGCTTTGAGGTCCTTTGCATAACTTGTTTGAAATTCTTACTGTTTTTAAGTATAGCTTGTGCTAAGTTGTAATGAAATGTACCGTTTGCTTTTAGTTGTAGAAATGCCTTTTTTCAACCTTCTTAATTTTGCTTGGTTCTGGTCAGTTCAGATCATTTGGGTCACAGGGAATGCTGTAATGAGCTGAAGTTGCATGCAGTGGTCTCAGAGCCTCTCAGTGTTGTTCTCAGGGAATGAAGGGAGAGCAGTGCAGGTGTGTGAATAGATGGAATTACACCTTGCCTGTAGATAGCAGAAGGCCTGGAATAAATAAATGCATGTCTATTAGTTGTGTAGTATCAGTTTGCTTGGGCAGAGTGATTCTGGTAGGAGCCCTTTTGGGAGTTTTGGTTAAATAAGCTCTGTAAGGCATGATGCTGCTCTGTGGAAAACCAAAGGAAGATACTTTGCTGTGCTGCTCTGCAAGTAGCTGTGCTCACTTCAGTGTGGAAGTCTTCCTGCCAGAGGCAAGGGAGGATGTGGTCACAGACCTTGTACCTGTGGTGCTTGTTTCTCAGCTTCAGAATGCTCAGTCCTTTGGCTGAAGTGTTTGCTGAGGTGTTGCTGTACTGTTGCCCTGTAGAAGATATTGCTGCTGTTCTGAGGGCTGTGGCTGGAAAACAACCCTGTGATCTGATAATACACATTATCCTATATGATTCTACTTACCTACACCTTAGAGTAGCTTTCTTCAAGGAGCTTCATTTTCTTTTTTTTTCCCTCCTTTTTTTTTCTTGGGGGAGGAAAGGGGGGAGTTCCATCTATTTCTTAATATCTCCAAGTTGTCGTCCCATTTTCACTGGAGAATAGCATCTTTATCTCATCACTAAGTCATAAATTGCCTTTTGCTTAAGACTTCCTCTAGTCTTGGTAGCCCACAGTAAAATAATTGGTCTGATCTTAATGAATGGCATTAAAAACATACTAATGAATAGATGTCAGCTATCTGCTTTGCTATTTCAGATCAACTACCAATGCTCAAGCTTAACCTTAAAGAATGAAAATCAATCTGACACCAATCATCAGAAATGTGGTTATATTTATTAGGAAGCAGTGAATATCAGTGCCCAATGCTCAACGCTGGCTTCAGACAACTCAGCAATGCTTCAGCTCCTGAGATTCCTGGTGTTTACCTCGATGGAGCCATTGGATAGTGCTATTCAATTACCAAATTGGATCTTACTTATATTTAATTGATGATGATGAGGCTGACTGTCAGTATATTTTCACTTGCGCTTCTGTTCAGCTTCTCTACGCCTTAATATCAGTTGTTCTATTCAGGTGTTCTGAAAACAGTAGAAATGCTGTCAGTTTACCTTTCTTCTTTTCTCTTCCAGCGGGGATCTGACGAGCTTTTCTCTACTTGTGTTACTAACGGACCCTTTATCATGAGCAGCAACGCTTCTTCTGCAGGTAATACTGCCTATAAGAAAAGAATAGCAATTGATGGGTGTTGCAGATATTATCAGGAGGTCTGATTTTGGTTTTTTTATATATATTTTTTAAATTAAAAATGTAGATTTCTAATGCTTACTAGGTCTTTGTAAGTTTATTGTTCAGCACCATCTTGTCTTGCACCTTGATGGTTAGCAGACTGAAAAAAATTTGCTTCAAACCTTTTGTTCTAATGATTTTACAGTAATAAAATAAGTTTTGCTGTAAACTGGTGTCTTTTGAAACACAGTTGTGTTTCACGTAGGATTATTTAGGCCATATATAGCAAACTGCTGTTGTTTATTCTGGGAGTCTGACACCATCTAGAGGTCAGTGATCCCACCCAGAACAGAGTTTTGCCTAATGTGCTCATCATTGCTTTGAATTATCTTACCTTGAGCTGCTGTTCTCTTTTCAGCCCCTGGTTTTGCTCTGCCAGACACTATCAGCTGTCTGATAGTGCCATAGATGTAATCCAGCAGATCTACAACGTTGGGTTGTTTTTATTGTTGTAATATCAATTGTTTGAAAAGGACATCATCAAATCTGCTTCATTGCTAAGAATGCTGGAAATAAAGCAGCAGTCTGAAATAACAGATTGGAATTAAGCAGTAGAAATGTGAGTGTCTGGGGATCTGCGTGCTGCAAAATGGCCACTGGAGAGTATGTTCCATTGCAGTGACATTCAGCTCCATCACTCACATGCATGTAGTCTGCAAAGGAGTAAAACTGTGTACTCAGACTCAAGTTAAATTAGACAATAGATTTTCTCTGTAATAGAAATAATTGGACAGGGAGCACAAGATGCACATCGGAAGTCCTGACTGTGTGTTTGCTCATCAAACTCGCCCTAATGAGCAGCTGCTCTTGTTTTTTTTCTTTTTACAGCTAATGGAAACGACAGCAAAAAATTCAAAGGGGACAGCAGAAGTGCTGGGGTTCCATCCAGAGTAATCCACGTCCGTAAGCTCCCCAGTGACGTCACGGAGGCTGAGGTCATCTCTCTGGGCTTACCTTTTGGCAAGGTCACCAACCTTCTGATGCTGAAAGGCAAAAATCAGGTACAGTGTCCACAACTGACAGCAGAGGTTGACAAAGACTTGAGTTTGTCATCAGTAAAGCAGCTCCGAGTTGTCAGAACAACTGTTACTCATTCGGATTGATAACTTCTGCATGCTGTGTTTGACTTTTCCATGGCTGTCCCATGAGCTGTAGAAAATACTATTTTCAGGCTGCTCAAGTAGCTGAGTCCGTAATTATTGGTAGTCATTTATAATTAGCATCATGCTTGTTCTTGTAGATTACAGGCTAGGTAAATGGTTTGGCCAGCAGTGCTGTGAGTTGGCCTTTTTCACTGCAGCCAGTTTGGTTGTTGAGTAACCACCACTGTAACCTTGCACATTAAGGATACCTTTCCAGATAGAAAAAAATGAGCTGGGTGAAGCTGAAGCACCACTGGATAATGCAGAAGGTGTTGTGTGTGAGCTTTGTGACTGTAATTGTACAAATTAAGGAGTTAAAAAGCAAGCCAACTTTAATCATTGCTTCGAGTACTGTGTCTTTAATCCTAGGGATGAAAATGTGCCTCTGATGTGTAGTGTGATTTCATGGAAGGGCTGCTCCAGAAGTAATGCTTATTGGTTTATTTTGTTGGCTAGTGATGTCACATGCAGCTGCTGGTGGGATAGCAGTGCAGGCTGAACCTTCCCATCAGTATTCTTTTACATTTGGTTGCTGTGCTACATGTGGCAGCAGAGGGGTGGTCTGACACAGTGGCATCTGACACGCAGGGGTGTGGAATTCAGTTCCTCCAATTGGGCATTACACAGAGTAACCTCTGTGCTTAACTTGCTAAAATTCCTTATTTTTTTTTTCTAAAATAGAGAAGACCACAAAGGTGTGAAACAGTGAGTAGGTTTACAAAGTATGGAAAGCTGCTTATTATAGTAAGTGTTGAGAGTCTGGATTGTTGCTCTACTCCAGTGTTCTAGCAGGCACTTCTGTTATTGCCAGTCCCCCAAATATATGTAGCATAAAGATCTTAGGATGAGTTGGACATTGCATTAATGTCAGTCTGGCCTACGAGTGCAGCTGTGAAAATTAAATGCTGTTCATTTCAACTAGAAGCTCCCTCTGAATTCATCAATCACATGCTACTGATAAGCATTCATGTCTGCTAGTGTGAGCTGCTTTGCTAATGTGCTGAATTGATTGATTTGACTTTCTGTGTAGGCTTTCATAGAAATGAATACAGAGGAGGCAGCCAACACCATGGTAAACTACTACACCACAGTCACTCCAGTCCTTCGAAGCCAGCCCATCTACATCCAGTTCTCCAACCACAAGGAGCTTAAGACAGACAACTCACCAAACCAAGCAGTTAGTTTCTTTCTTAACATTGTCACGCAGGTGGGAGGGACAGATGGTTCCCAGCTGGTGGTTTTGCTGCTGGTGTAGGCCTGGAAGGGTTTTGAGATGAACTATATCTACAAAAGTGTTAAAAAGAGCATGTTGTGTTTCCTGAGAATTTGATTGAATAGAAATGCCTCTCATTTAGGTTCTAATAGGCTGTCTTTCAGCATGGCTGCTTCTGACCACCTTTTTCCCTTTGCTTGCAACTTTTTCATTTGCTACTTGATTTCTACCCCAAGCTTCTAGCTTATGGATGAATACCTACTGTAATAGCTGTTGTCCAGAGCTTCAGCAGGCTACTAAATGAGCTGCTAAAACTTCCTTTAATGTTGGGGAGAAAATAAGTGAGATCACAAAGAATTGCACTCTAGCATTCTTTAATTAGAAACTGTAACAATGCCTCTCTAAAGACTTACAGCGCTTCAAAAATGCTGCTGGTGTTCAAGAAGTTTATGTAAAATGAAGCTCTGATGGAGGCAAAACCTGTAACTGCTGGAGAGAGGGTTGCTGGGATGTGCTAGCTTTGAAACAGGCAGAACTGAACACTGGTTTTTAATGCTTTGGGCTGTCTAGAGTTTGTGTAAAACAGGCTCTGCGTAGTAGAAAGTTCCATTTTTGGCTTAGCTGCTCTTGGCAATCTTTCAGGACTGGAGCATTGGAAAGAAGTTCAGGTTACTTGCACCTCCTTATCAGGGATGGCTTCCTAACACATCCAGTTTGCCTCCTCACTTTTCAGCCTGACTTTCATTGGCATCAGAGCATCTCCTGCTGTGCAGATGAAGTGCCACTGCTTGGTGCATCTAACAAAACCACAATTTGATGCATATGTTATATGCAGAAAAGACACTCAACAGGAACTGCCATGTCAGTTTTCACTGCTGGATCCCTATGGCAGTTGTGTATTGAATTTGTTAGTTTTTTGTCAGCTTCAGTATTGTTCTGGAGGTGATGTTGCATCCCAAAAGAGCCTGGATTTACCTTTTTCCTGAGCAGTGGAATAACTTTACAGCATTAGTGGGTGCTGAGCAAGAGTATAGATAACAGTAGTGTAAGTAGCATTTTATTTAGTGTGTATTGCATTGTTGTTATTGATTGAGGTGACTTTGTATTTCCCACATCTAAAATGTGCTGAAATACTGCACTCTCAGCTCTAGGAATAGTAAATTGCAGCTTGTTATGTAGTAAATAGATGGGGAGACTCAAGAAAAGCTGAATGTGTATTTTTGCAAGCAGGAGTGTCAGTCTAACAGGATGTTTGGTTCTGCAGCGTGCCCAAGCAGCTCTGCAAGCAGTGAACTCTGTTCAGTCAGGAAACCTGGCACTGCCAGCTCCTGCTGCAGCTGTGGATGCGGGGATGGCGATGGCTGGCCAGAGCCCTGTGCTGAGGATCATTGTGGAGAATCTCTTCTATCCTGTCACTCTAGATGTTCTGCATCAGGTAAAATATGTCCTCACAGCTTGAAGACTGTCCTGGGGGAAGGGAAAGAGACAAATAGGGAATTACACATTGTTAGTGTTGTAATAGCACACGTCTATATCTGTAAAGCAAGCTCTGGAAAGAGCAGCTCTGACCACAACTGTTAGTTTTCTGCTTTCTAGAGGCCCTGATGCCTGCATGAGGCTCTCCTTGTTTTGTTTTCAATCTGGCCAGTCTTAATTTGCAGAGGTTTGCTGGCCTGCTGTAGTGGGATTCTAACCTGGTGTGGCAGGAAGGACAAATGTTACAGTTTCAGGACTGGTCTTAATACTCTGGTGTTAATACACTGCTTCCTCCACACACAGTGATGCTTACCCACCATTTTACTGAAATTACTTCAGTATACTAAGTGACATATAACTATGTCACTTAAATAGTAACCTATATGAAGACTTATTCCTGCTCTGCACTGCAGTCACTCAACTTGATCTTTGTTTAAAATGCAAGCTTGACTGCATGTAAAAATCCCTGAAATCCTGAAAATGTTTGAGTTTGTGAAGGTCTGCATGTATCTTCCCATATAAGAGTGATGTTAAAATGAGGACTTAAAGATGCACTGAGCTAGTCCCGTTTCTTCTCTAGGTAGTTGCCATGGTTTAGTGTAAACAGTGCTTGTGGCATAGTCTAGAACCTGCTTTCAAGTTGGGAAGCTTACAGGGTGACAGGACAGTTCTTGTTGCTTTTGCTTCTAATAATGTGAAACATGAATATGATGCTCAGTTCTGGTGATGGGGTGACAAAGTGTGCAAATATTATCTTGCAGATTTTTTCCAAATTTGGTACAGTCTTGAAAATAATTACGTTCACGAAGAACAACCAATTTCAGGCTCTGTTACAATATGCTGACCCCATGAGTGCTCAGCATGCCAAACTGGTGAGTACTGTGCTTGCAGTGCTAAACACCTGCATCGTTTCAACTTTTCACCTTGCTGTTGTTGTTCTAGGACAAACGTGTGTATGTGGTTTTGTGAAAGCATCACCCAAATTGCAGATTGCATGTGTGAGTGGGAGGGAACTTCACCACCAAGAGTAGTGTGGTGTAACGAGGATAATTATTGAAGGGGATGAGTGGAAGTGATGTTAATTCTGCACAGGTTATCTGTTTGTCTTCAGATGCAGCACTCCCTGGAGTGATGCAGCACTTTCTCTCCTCAGAGATTTCTTTGTGATATTTAATATGAATTCATGATGCATTTAAAAAGTGATTTATTTCCTTGCAGTCTTTGGATGGACAGAATATCTACAATGCCTGTTGTACGCTGCGCATAGATTTCTCAAAGCTCACAAGTCTCAATGTAAAATATAATAATGACAAAAGCAGAGATTACACACGACCAGACCTACCTTCTGGGGATAACCAGCCTCCTCTTGATCAGACCATGGCAGCTGCTTTTGGTGAGAGTTCTTAACGTGGGAGCAGGGCAGGTGTAACAACTCCTGTTAGTTTGGGAAGAGAGGATATAATCCTAGTGTGTTTGGTTATGAAAAATTTTAGAGTATAGTGTGAATGAGGAATTTTGGGATCACTGGATCTGAGTGCAAAATACTTACATGGGCATATGTTTGTGGCTGCCTGTTGCTGCTGTGAAAGCTGTTTGTGTGGGGGCTTGGAGGATTTTAGCAGCTGTCTGTGCTTTGAGTGCCATCTGCTGTTCTGTTTGCAGCACAGACTGAGCAGTAATTTGGGGGTGTTGTAACCCCATACTTCTGGAAACTGTACCATGGATAAGCAGTGATGGGAGCTGGTAACTTGTATTCTGGTCAACAGCTGCCTTCTGCTGGCAGTGTCAGCCCAGCAGGGCTCAAGGAATGCTGCCTGTCATTTCTTGAAAAAACTCAGCGTTGCTTGAAGACATTTTTGACCTGGTGGTTACAGTTTAGCTTCCAATTCATACGTAGAAGGACAGATGAAGACAGTTAAGCCTAGGGTTTTCTTGCTGTTGAATATCTGTATGTAATGTGTCTCTTTCCCAGGTGCCCCAGGAATAATCCCTGCCTCTCCATATGCAGGAGCTGGCTTTCCTCCCACCTTTGCAATTCCTCAGGCTGCAGGTACTGTACTTCGTAAGTTGGAATTTTATATAGGTTCTCTGGTTGTTGCTGAAGCATCTTGATGTTTTAAAGCTAAGTAGTGGTGGTTGGGGGGGGAGTGGAGTCCTTTAAGTCCTAAATGCTGACACTTGGGCATGGAGGGGAAAGACTTTTTTCAGTACACAGTCTCAACCAAGTGTGTAGCTATAGTTACTCTGGCTAGGCAATATTCACATGGAAAGAAGAAAATCTGAGTGGGAGCAACACTAAAACCAGTATTTAAGTATTGCTCTATTGGGAGATTTATTGGTAAGTTAAGGTTTTTGCATTTAGCTTTTCCTCATGGGGCTGCTGAGTTTGGGAAACCCACCGTTACATCTGTAAAGGTGAACGGAAGCAAAGAATCTTTGTTTTTCCATAAGAACTGAGTAAAGCTGGTATTCAGTATGAGCTGAATTTACATTATTACAGTTGCTCTGAAGCTTAAAATTTGCTGATAGCAAAATATTTCTACTTACATGCCTAGCCAAATATGAGACAAGTACTTATGCTTTAGGTGCTAAATACACTTGTTAGTGTCAGATAAACAGTTCTTAACTTTTCATAGCATACTAAGCTATGTTGACTTCCCAGTAACTTGGTGGGATTTCCTTGCTTATGAAAGAACAGTCACAAACCACATGCTAATATTTTGTTGTTGGTTTTCCTCATGGGGATACAAACCATGCCCTTTGAAGTAATCCCATGTAATTCATTGCTAACTGTTGTTTCTAGAACTTGAGCCCTCCAAAGGGCAGTGCTTTAATGTGGTGAGGTGCCAGGTGTTCTGTGAACAGACTAGAAATGAAACCTCAGTGTTTCTTCATTTGATAAGAGATTAGCCAGGGGTAGCATGATAGCTGATAATTTTTATATGCATGGTTAAAGAACAAAGCATTTTTTGGCATGCACTGGTTGGAAAGACCCTTCCAATTACACCGTTTGTGAGACCTTTCCTGCCCCACCAGAGCTGAGGCTTTGTGCTGATTCCGCTTCTTGTGAAACGTGCAAAATATTGTAGTCAACAAGATCGTGCTGAGGCATCTATTGAGCACCAGGCACTGCAAAGAGCAATTACTATGAGAAATGATACCATTTCCTGCAGCACCAGAACTGGAGGCTTCTGTTGCTGTTAGAGTATAGTCACTGTGTTTTGAATGGTTACTTGCATGTTACAGAAGGTGTGCTGTTCTCCCTTCTGGTGCAGCAGATACACTAGAGTACGTGCTGTTAACTTCTTCACTGGTTAATATTCTTTAATTTCCAGGCTTGACAGTTCAAAATGTTCATGGAGCTCTAGCTCCTTTGGCTATCCCAGCAGCAGCTGCAGCGGCTGCAGCAGGACGGATTGCCATTCCCGGCCTCGCTGGGGCAGGGAACTCTGTTCTGCTGGTTAGCAATCTGAATCCTGAGGTTAGTGGAGTCCTAATTTTACTTTTTTTCTCCTTCCTGTTACCTCTACTTTCACTTTCTGAATGCAGATTATGCTGAAAATCATTCAAAGTGAAACCCTACTGTGTCCTAAAGGAAACGGCAAAGTTAGAAAAGCAGATGTGCTCTGCCAGCTCTCAATCTCAAAGCAGACAGTACTCTAGTTGCTGAAAGGAAATCAGAAAGTCCATCTCTCAAATTAAAACCTTGCTGCTCTTTAGTCGAAAGCTGAGGATGCTGCCTGCCTGCTCTTGTCCCACAAAGACTACAATACCTGTCCCCTCCCTCCCTTCATTTGGAATCTCTCTGCCATTCCCATGTAGTATTGTCATTGGGTCAGAAGAGTCACATCCATTCTTTCTTTCCCTTAGCATGTTCTAGATTTTTAATACATTAATTCAGAACTACAGAGTTCATTCTGACCTTTGCTCTGTATAGTGTCTGGACCCCTGCCAGCTTGACTTCATACTTGTGCAGTTATTTCCTCTGCCATGTGCTTGCACATTTTTCCTTTCCAAGATTTCGGGAAGGTTTTCCTTAGCTAAACCCCTTAACAGCTCACAGTTTACATTTTCAATTCTATTTGACTTAGTGAGTTGAAATGCTTGGGTTTCCTCAATAACAAAGCAGGAAATTATGTGCAAAAAGTCTTTAACAGAAGATTGCATCATAAGAATTTGATATCTTGAATGTTTCCCAGTCAGCTTTTGGCTCTGTGTTGGATTGAAAGTGTAGCATCTCCTGTTGTGTGTGATAGCGTGTGATCAGTCTGCTGAGCACACTTTAACTGGTGGGACTGCACACACACAACTTAATCCTACTTTGCAAAGCTATAAAACTTAACAGTGATGGCAGAGTAACCACAAAACCTCTTTTGCATCAAAGGAGAAGCCTGGATGTGATGAGTAATCAAAGAAAAAACACTTAACTTTTGGTGAGAGGCACCAATTGGAGCAGTATTTCAGACTATTCCTCACCTGCCAATACTGTTTTCTCCAGGGCATAAAATAATGCTGAGGACTGCAAGCAGCCCTGGTTTGGGTGAGGTGTATTTTCTGCCATTCCAGAAGCTGTCATCTCAGTCCCAGCATCATGCTTGCTCAAACAAAACACTTTTTAAGAGCTGGCCTTGCTGTTCTCAACCATTGTAATGCTGCCTAGCTTGGTTTTTGGGGGGATGACTTTGTGTTTTCTGGATGGCAATGATAAGACTGTGCTTTTTACCCCTATTTACTTTGCATGTGTTTGCTGCTCTCCAAGAGTGGCATCTGAGGGGTGTGCCTTGTTCACATATTGGGTTATTTCATGCCTTGCATTTTTTGATGAGCTCCTCACTATCCATCCAGCTTATCTTTGGGCTAGAGAGACTTTGATACTTGTACTGAAGCTGTGAACTAACAGACCTGATATCTGAAACTTTTTCCATTGCCTGTATAATCAGTGTTGTAGAAACTTACCTGTGCCACAAACAGTTAGTTAAGAGACAGTATTTCTCCAGAGTGACTGCTCTGCAATAAGGTGGGAGGCTTTTTTCTGAATCAGAAGCATGGAAATTGAAATGACTCCATCTTTTTTTCCTTTCCATAGCAAGCAGAAGTCATCTCAAGTCTTCAGCTTGCATTGACTTTCACTTGGAATGCAGTTGTCAGTGGGAGCAGAGATGCTTTCCCTTTCTGGATCAGTAGTAGCAGTGCTGGGTTCCTGCACAGCAACTCCAACCCCCTGAGACAGATGGAAGGGAACAGACTTGGTTGTAAAGTGCTACCAAGCTCCTTTTATAGCAAGCACTCCTACCAGGCTTTTTTTGGTAGTGGTGCAGCTGCTCATCCAGATGACATTGCTTAGTATCTGAATTGGCTTTTTACTATTTTTTACAATTAAATATGCAATTATAGATTGCTTCCCTTTGTCATTAATCCTCAAGGAGCAGTTCCAGCTGTTTGATTGGATCCAAGAAGTGCTCCCTCTGAAATGACAGCAATCAGTAACAGTTTGAGTGGAATTTTAGGGAACATCACTGCAATTTAACTCGTATTAAAACTTGTGAAGTCATTCTGTTGCGATACTGTCTCTTACCTCCTTGTATATCTGAAGTTAAAAATGCCTTTTCTTTATCATTGTGTTCCACTAGGTAAAACCTATTAACTGTTTCTGTAAACAAGTTATTGTATGTAGAATTCTATAAATCTGACTGATGGAACACTACATATTTCCTTATGTATTTACTGACCTGTGTTTTTTGCTACTTTTTTCTTTTCTCCCCCATCCCTGAATATTTTTTTTTCTTCCCCTGATCCGGAATTTCTTTGCCAACTGACTGCACGGTACTTCTGCTTCCTGTTGTTGCTTGAAACAAAACAAAACAAAACCATATATATTCCCCTTTCAAAAAACAAACAAACAAACCAAAACCAAAAAAAAACCAAAAAAAAAAAAACCCTGCTCTTCGGAAACCAACCTGCCCTTCAATATTAACCATCTTGAAAACTTCATCATCCATCAACCAATTTCGCCATTTCCGGGGATTCTGCCCTTCCTCGTTGTGGACGATTTGTGCAACCTCGCTCTCCCCTTCGATTCCTTACCTCTTCCCTGTCCCTCCGCTGCCTTGCTCTGCTGTTCTCTAAAGAGAGTTACACCCCAATGCCTCTTTATTCTTTTCGGTATGTTATCATTCACACTTTTTATTACCTTGTTTTTTCATTTATTTGAGATTTACTTTATTTATTTTTTTTTGGATACTTCAGAAATGTACAGTTTGCAGTTTGCCTTTTATTTTTGTTTGTTTTGAATGCGTAATTTCGTTTTTACGTTGTTTAGTTTGCTATTTAATTTAGTTTGCCTTTATTTTACGTTCAGTTATGCATGATTTATTGCTTTGCATGTCTTTTTTATAAGAGTTTTAAATTGTGATAGCATGCTAAATTGTCCAGTCTTCTGGCAGTTAGATTTTGGCTTTTTTTTTTTTTTGCTGAAACCCAGTATCTTTTCTTTAATGTATTGTTCCATTATTATTCTGCTATATAAGAATTTTCCTTAAGTAGAGCAGAATAAGTAAAACGTGGTTGGAATGAGATCAGTTCTGATTGTGAATGTTTTTTGCTCTTGGATTGGTTAGCTAAAATTAAGCTGTATGAGGCTTCCTTCCTACTCCTCCCTAAGACTGTTTTTGTTTCCTCACTTTCTGAAGGAGTCTATGGTGATGTGCAGAGGGTGAAGATTTTATTTAATAAGAAAGAGAATGCCCTGGTTCAGATGGCTGATGGAAACCAGGCTCAGCTTGGTAAGCAAGCTTAAATGTATCAACTGATAGTTAGGCCGTGGGGTGGTCAAAGCTTTCTGCTCTTTAAGACAAAAACAACTCCTTGTGTACTTAATTGCTTGTCTGCATCTGTAGCATTGATTCAGTGCAGCTCTGAACAAGCGATGGGTAATTTGTGCCAGATAATCTAGGGGTAAAATAATGGAATTATCAGTACAAGATCTTTACTGTGAAAGTGGTGAGGTGCTGGAACAGCTGCCCAGAGAGGCTGTGATGCCCCGTCCATCCCTGGAGGTGTTCAAGGCCAGGTTGGATGGGGCCCTGGGCAGCCTGGGCTGGTTTTAAATGTGGAGGTTGGTGGCCCTGCATGTGGCAGGGGGTTGGAGATTCCTGATCCTTGAGGTTCCTTCCAACCCTGGCCATTCTGTGGTTCTGTGATTCTAAGGCAGAATGATGATGCCTCTCACTGTATTCCTGGGAGATGTAGTATCCTGCCTAGGGAAGAACTAAAATGAGGTTCTAGCTTTGATAGAAGTGTCTGAACAGAACTGAAATGCCACTGTTCTCAGCTCTGTGTTGCACCATTGCAGCCATGAGCCATTTGAATGGCCAGAAGCTCCATGGGAAGCCAATCCGTATAACGTTGTCCAAACATCAGACAGTGCAGCTCCCTCGTGAGGGACAGGAGGACCAAGGTCTGACCAAGGACTATGGAAATTCTCCCTTACACCGTTTCAAGAAACCAGGCTCCAAAAACTTCCAGAACATCTTTCCTCCTTCTGCCACTCTTCATCTGTCCAACATTCCGTGAGTATCAGTGTGGGGAACCTCCTGTGGTGCTCAGTGTGGAAATGTCCACGAGTTCAGTGTGGGGGTTAAAATGTGGCTTTAACTGCTGACAGGAGAGAAGCTTGCTTTTCTTCCTGTTGTTCTTCATAGTCTTTCCAGTCCAAGGAGCTGTGCTGTTGGTAGAGAAACTCAGCAAAGGATCTGAGGGGAACTGTTTTAGTGCTGTAGTCTGACATGTATTTGACTGAAAAACAAATAAAATTATTGATTTCAGACCTTCAATAGCTGAAGAGGACCTGAAGATGTTGTTCTCAAGCAATGGTGGGATGGTCAAAGGCTTCAAATTCTTCCAGTAAGTGGTTTTCTTTTCTTTCTTAAATCCTGTCCTTATATTAAGGTGAGAAGGGTAGAATTGCCTGACTTAATCTAAGGCTAAGGGAACAGTGAGCAGCACTGTCACTTACATAGCAATCCAACTCATCTGGAAGAAAGAATTCAAGAGCAACCCTGGATGGAGTGCATGGTTGATAAAACTTTAAGGTAGCAGAGTGAGATTTTGGGGTAAGCATGTTGATCTTTTCCACATAGGAGAAAAAAAAAAAAAAAAGACATTGTATTGCATTTATCCAGGTAGTTAAACTGCTTGACCTTGAGCACTAGGTGATAAAACTTACACTGACTTAAACAAATGCTGTGTGCAGTGGTACTGAATACGTCTTAAATCTCTGTCTTGTCAGGAAGGACCGTAAAATGGCTCTGATCCAGATGGGCTCTGTGGAAGAAGCCATTCAATCCCTCATTGACCTCCACAATCATGACCTGGGTGAGAATCACCACCTGCGTGTGTCCTTCTCGAAGTCCACCATTTAAAGCTTTGGAAGGCATGAGACAAAATGGACTTGACTTAACCTCTTGAGTTCAGCCTTGACCTTAAAAGGCTGAACACGAGGGTTTCAACTTCCATCATTCCAGAAAAAAAAAAAAGCCACTTTAAAAAAAAAAAAATGCAGCTGAAGTGACCTTAAAAGACCAGAGATTTTATTTTTTTAAAGAGAAATCAGTTTACCGGTTTTTAAAAAAAGAAAAGAGAAAAAATTAAATCTAATTCATATTGCTAACCTTGCGGTGATGGGTAACAATCTTGACTGTTCAAATAAAATATCACAAGTTGAAGTTTACACTTTGGAACCTGCTCTGGGAAATTCCCCTCCCTTCCTGTTCCTTCTCCCCCAAAAAGCAGATCCCAACAATTTTATCAGGTTTCACATTGATGCCTTTTTTTTTTCTTTACCCATCCATGCCTTGAAAGACCTAAAACCACTGTGTACATTCACTTTTGCGCCTTTTGAGTCAGGATTTTGCAAAATGTATGGTTGTATAGGAGCTCCCAACCCAACTAGCACAAAACCAAGTTGCATTGATCCTACCTAAACTGTGCATCTGCTATCCTGTGCCTTAAACCTTTTCCTTCTTTTTGGGAAAACATCTGAATTGTGGAGGTCGGATGGGAGAGCGGAGGGGAAATGAATGAGTTCTGGCTCACTAGATCTACTTGTAGGGAAGAACTAATCAAGCTGGCAGAGTGGATAAAGAAAATATTGGGCTTTGACTCTTCAGGCATTTGTATCCCACTTGTCTCAATTGCGTAGTATCACGTGTTTTTGTGCCACTTTCCAATCTGCTTGTGGTTTATCTCCATCTGCAAACCTCCAAGTGGGAGTTGAGATCCCTGGTGTGACATTCAGACCGAGTAGAAGGGTCTGGGTGGGGAAACATTCCCAAGACCAAATCACATTCCATTGTCAGTAGTGAGCCAACAGGCTCTGCCCTTCACAAGAAGAGCATTGATCGAGATACAAAACCAACCACTGCTGGACATTTGTGAAGACAAATCATTAAGAATTTGTCAAAATTGTATGTGTATATATATCTCTAAATACTTGGCTAGGATTTGAAGAGTTATTGGATATCCCACATCTAGAAAGGTGTTCATGCAAGTCACCTTCGTGCCCCTGATTTGAAATTAACAAGACCAGTGTAGCTCTGCCATCATTCTTATAGCGTGTCTTCAGCATTTGAGCTTTTTGTTTTAATTCTTGTATTATACTTTTTTGATGCAGTTGCTGTCATCTGTGCCTAGCAATATTTCCAGTTGACCAAATATTCTAATCTCTTTATATGCAAAAGAAATAGTTTAAGTACCTTTTTATAGAATGGTAAGATGGTATAAACGTAATCTAAATTTACTCCTTTGTGATATTACCCTTGTATACTGTACTTTGTTTTGTTTTTTTTTTTTGTTTTATAATTGAAACTGTAGGGCAGTGATTTAGTTATCAGGCTGAGGTCATGACTGAGGATGAGGATGTAATGACATGGGTGAAACACGTAAAGCAGACTTTTAAAGCAATGTGTTTGAGATACCAAGCGTAATTAGCTTGTGAATTTAAGGACCAGGCTCAAGTTTTTCCACTTTTTTTAACCGATAAGCCCAGATATTTTTAAGTTATAGGAAGGGAATTCATTATAAGTAGAATGCAGCAGATCGTTTTCTCCCAGTGATAAAACAACCTTCATGTTTTCTGGCTTACAACTCTTTCCCGGGCCATTCTGCCTTCTATTTCGTGTAATCCAACGTTGCCTTACATTTCCCTCTAACCTGCAACCTGTTTGGATGCAAAATAACAAGGATCTTGTACTTTTTTTCAGGGTTTTTTTCTGCAAATTGTGGACCAAAGTTTTGTTTTCTAATTGTCTTAGTGTTGCAAGTTACGGTTTCCTTGCTCAGTGTGGGAGCTCTGACTTGCCTAGCACTGAGTGTTTGGAAAAGTCTTAACTTTTCTTCGTTCCTCCCTGAACTCTTGAGGATGTGAATTATGCTGGAGAAGTGTGTGAAGTCTGAGTGAGGGTTCAGCTTGGGTTGCTGGCGTGAGATCTGTAGCACTTGCCTGCCCCCAGCCTTCCTTTGGAGGCTGAGTGTGCAGCCATCAGTGCTGGCTTCAGTTACCTCGCCATCTGAGCAAGCCTGTTCATTGAATGGCAATCTGCCTCTCTGAACTCTGTGTTTCCTTGCATTCAGCAGTGCAAATCCAGGTGTCTCGGACTGGAATCTGTTTGCTCATCTCCCTTCCTAAACGAGGGGAGCAGCAGAGGCTGCATTCCTGGTGCAGCTCTGCTCCTGCCTGCCCTGCAGCCACAGATTCACGCACAACCCAGAGCAGAACAGCTGTGCTGTAGCTTTCAGATGCATTCAATCCACCTCACCCGAGATGCTGGGAAGAGGCTCATTGGAATGAAACCTGTCTGGTGGCCTTGAAATGTTAATCTGGTCGACCCACAGGCTATGTATGTATTTTGCAAAATGCAAGCAAGTGAATTGAGGTAACCCCAGAACCCAGACGTGGTGGGTTTTTCCTTTGGATCCCTGTGTTTGCATGTAAAGAATGTGAGTAACAAAAGGGTGTACATATTTATAATTTTTTTATACCTGTTGTAAGACATGAGGGGGCAGCAAAACCCAGTTTTTTTTATGGTGAACAGATGTATTGTATATTTTGATACCAGCTATTACAGGTTCAGTATTGTGGAAAGTGGGGTGGGGAGGGTTAAGCGTACACAACATCAAGAATTCCATTGCCTCTTTCAAAGAATGTTTGTAATGCAAAAAGAAATTAAAACTATTTTATAACAACCTTTGTACCTTTCTGTAGCTCCATTATTTACTGTTCAGATTGTAGAAAGCAGTTATTGGCCAGTCTGTACTTGTGCTTTCAATAAATTTCTTCTGTATTCTTTGCTTCTGATTTCCCTCTCTCTTTTATTGTGCCTATTTTGCTTCTGGTTATTTTTTTTTTCTCCCTTCTGTTGTAATTCCAGCTGCCTCATGTGTTAACTTTGACCTCTCATACCTCTGGGCACCTCTGTGTGGAGCAAAGGCTGCTGAATGCAGGGCTGGAGTGGGAGCAGCTCCAGTCCCCAGTGCTCAAGCAACGCTCAGAGGTATGGGGTTACAGGGCCTTAACTGATGCTCTGCCTTTGTCCCATTCCAACTCTTTTTTGTTTTATTTTTAATTCATGTTCCTAAACTTTCCATATATTTCTAGCTAATATCCATGAAATAACCCAGCTTTCCAATCCGGTGACGTAATGCTCTCTGAAGTTTCACGCTTTGGATGTGTCAGAGCTCTGTGGCTGCCTGCTTCCACAGACCAGACCCCACCAGCAGCAGCCACGCCACCTTCATTCCTCTTCTCACGTCTGTTATTTCAGTTCTTAGGGTTTATTCTACAAACACTGAAGCTGTGCTGCTGCACAGAGCTTATTTGGGGCCGGAGGAGCACAGCCTTTTGCCTGGGGGAGGAGGAGGGGGGAGGTTGTCCTACCTGCACATCCAGCTTGGTTAAGAGCCCTTTCAGAAGATCCTTTAGGAGTAGCAAGGCACTGACAAACCCCAGTGTGAGTGCAGGGAGCCAGGAGCGGGGTGGATGCATTTCTATCACTTTCTGCTCGCTGCCCAGCCCTGCAGCTTTGCTGGCAGTGCGCTCTGCTGCCCATCCCACGGCTGCAGGGTGAGGAGCTGCCCCGTTTCCCCATTCAGTATTGCCCTGTTTCAGCTTCCCCAAGCCCTGCAGTGTAACATCCTCAGACTGGAAGCTCGCAGAAGCACGGCGCTGTTTGCCGTCCTTCGCCTTCTTTCACATCAGCATCACCCACTGCCTCTTTATTTCACGGGCTGCAGCCTCCGAGGTCACCGCGCTGCGTTCCGCGGGAGCCTCGGGCGATTGAAAGAGATCGCTGTTATTCCTTGAAAGCCTGATAGGATTTAAAACAGCTGCCCCTTCCCCTGCTTGGCTCCGGTGATGCTGAATCCTCCCAGAAGCCGGGATCGAGCAGGGATGGATTGGGTCGGCGGTGATGCGGTGGAGCGGGGATGGATGCTGTGTGCGCACGGATGGGACGCGATGCTCCAAAGCGATGCTGCACTGCGTGTCCACGTGCTAAAGGACCAACGCTTACACGCCAGCTGCCCTTCCCCGTGTCCTTAGCCGGGGGGGGGAAGGAAGGAGGGGGGGAACCTTCGACCCCCGGAGCGTGGAATCGAATCCGGAGGGCGGCCCTGAGCTCAATGAGAGCCATCGGTGCTGCGTCCGCCCGGGGTTCCAGGAGCAAGCAATTAGCGATGGGCGGTTAATGAGCTTTCTCCCCGGCATTCCCAGTGCCCGCTGGTCCCAGCCT